CTTGGCACGTTCGGATCGTGTGAGTGGATAAGCTCCATGAACGTGTAGATCGGGGGGGAGACACAGCTGAGTCCTGACCTCAATGTGTCCACGACTCGAGAAACGTAACTCTCCGGACCAGTGGCACCATAGTCATACTACCATGGTCTCACACGGAGAGATTCTAGACGCCGGTGCCCCATGTTGATCTCTATTGTTTGCCAGCTTATTTGCATGACAGCAGAGTCGAATCCCGAAGATTGTGCGCATTGTATCCGCTTCAGGGTCAGGGATGAGCAGAACAGAGGTGCAAAGGATCATGCCACCAGGTTGCTGCCCATACTGTAGATTATGGCCCTAAGCCGCTTTGGGCGTCCTTGGCAAGTGGGCCTGGGAAAAAGTCAAACAAATCAAACCGGCTCTTTGTACTGCCGTACTGCCGCCTCCATCAATTAAACAGAACCTGGACGTTATCAGATTCCGTTTATGTCTCTGTGCTTTTCGAGGAGCGTCTCATCTGTGCAGTACTCCGTACCAACTTCCATATGCGTCTACGTACATATCAACCAACGTTCAAATACCGGTTCCCCTCGAAAATCTCCCATCTGATTACTATCAGGCATCGTTTGGCCCACTTCGCATTGTCCGGTAGGCACACTACTGAGATCCACTTGCCTAGAACAGGTTAAGAGCAATATCGAGATAGACTTTAGGAGGATCTTGACATTATTAACAATATCATAAGCAAATAGAGGGTGGTATCTAGGGGTCATGCAGGAGGAATCTCTAGCCTAGGGTAACTTGAACAGTGCAGGGCCGAAAGTCAACTTGTTGCAAACTTGTTCGTATTAATATCAGTAGTATCAGGAGGTAGATTGGATTGCCGCTTGCCCTGCTTATAGTGTCGAATAGGGCTGCGCCGCAGTTTGAGCAGAAATACTAGTATTGGTTATAGCACATTATGCGTGAATACCTCTCAAGAGTACGGCGGAGTACTGTCGTAGCATATCGTAGAAAGGAGAAAGCAGGGGCAACGAGGAGAGAAAAAAAAGAGAGGGGGGGGGGGAATAAGGAAGGAATGGCCCGGTAGAAAATGGCTAGTCTTTTCTCAGGTTCTGGGATTAATCTCAATCATGGATGACACATTCTCGAATGATTCGAGGAAGATGACAAATATCCTCTTCGTCCGCGGTCACTGACATGGTTTACTGAAATAATGTCCCTTTCCTTGAACACTCCGGCAATTCTTCTTATACGGTTCATGTATGGTACAGTGCACCCATGGGGTTCCCTCAAAGCGCCGTCCTGAGACACTGAAGCTCGGGTGTTTTATTGTTCTATTTTTATTTTTATTTTTTGGTTACGAATGGGTTCACTTGTGTCCCGCGGAGATTGCTTTTCCGAAATGTAAGCGATGACGAGAGTGCGACCCACTTGTACTGTGGGGCTGAAGCAGTTCGTGGGGATTATATTGCTCACCTCATAGGGTAGAAATTGTCCAAAGTCGTCAAGGTCTGCTCGGATCCATTACGCCGAAGTATATAAACTGTCTGATTGTAGCCACATGGGCTCACCAGCCTATTTTAGAGAAAAATGTGGTGTGATGGAGAGCAGAAGTTGACCTCCATATAACCAGTCGCCTTGAGAATGCACCATGGCATATCCGGTCAAATACCCTCGATCTGCGTCTTGTATTCAGTTCATGATCCCAAGGAAATGAGGATAGTGAGAGGCAGGGAGTGTCTCTGAGGGAGCAATTTTTGAGCCACGAGAACACTATAGAATCCTGACAATGGACGAGAGAAAGGCGCCACGTTCATTCTGGGTGTTCATTGTGAGACTCAGGTTCAAGATTATATTAAACTATCAATATATTGCCCAGACGACCCACCGTGTCAGCTAATGCTGCTGCTTCCATTATATTGGGACAGGTCTTGGCTGAAGGATGCTCAGGATGCCGCCGAGGATACGCCGAACGAGTTCATGTGTTCTGATAGACACAAATAGAATGTGCTAAGCTGATATTGTTTATAGGACATGTGACACTGTGACGGTGCTAGTTTTATTCACTACATGGGCTAGTTCTGGGTGGAAACGAGCTGCCCTAGTCGCTTGGTGAAACCCTGTGCTAGTCCCAGAAGGAGCTGCAAGGACCTATATGGTAGTTCAAGGCCGAAAGGGCGTTCTACAGAAGTGGTGGACTAAATGCAACACAGTGCAATCTAGTTACATGCTCATCGTCAACCTGCGTTCGGAGGATGCGGTGGTACTCATGAGACCCAGTCACTAAAGGGTTTAGATACGGGCAGAATCTCTTTGCTCCTAGCAGGAGGTTTAGATCATCCGTATCTTGTAAAACCACAATGTCCCCTCATTTCATGTCACAGCGATCACTTTTTTATCGCTCTTCCATGTCCTGGAGGTTGCTTGAATCAAGCTTCACGGTCATTTTGAAAGATTGCTGAACATCTGTCAGCTACCCAACCAGGAGGACAAGTTCAACCTCAAGTCAATAGGGCTGGGGTTTCGGTGGCGAGTGGCTACACTAGCCTCTACGATAACATTTCCTTGAGAGGTTAAATAAGCGCCATAAAGAACCTCTTACGGGCCTTTAGGAGGAATTTCTACCGAGCTGCATCTTGTTGTGACGTTTTCATAGTAATATGGTGGGTTTGGCAGAATGAGCAATCGACCACATACAATGGGGGCAAAGCAAGCGATTGTCAAGATCTCCTCAAGACTTACTGCCGGCTGTCAGCTACTTTCCCAAACGAGCTGGACAAACGTCACACTGACTTGGTGACTGCGATGGACAGAGGCATTAGCATGGGACACTTGACCATCCGTGTGCGCTGGACCAATGCTGTTTCGCCGAGTTCAGAGCCCCTGTATACTTAGGTTGGTGTCACCATAATGCGACATTCGGATGTCAAAGTTCGTGCGGTAGCAGACGAGCTATGGCGCCATTCCTTGGATATAATCTGCGGAAGAATTATTCTGTAATACATGCTGTGGTGCAGCTTCGTTTGCCGTCATGTGAAGACAACTTCTCAGCTCATGTACTCTGTGATATTTGTACGACTGCACATCACCCCGAGAATCACTTAGCAATATAAATTTTCTCCTGAGAAGTTCCAGTCTATCCTATAGAGTACCGCTATTTTTGTTGTACGATAAAGCGTAGGATGCTGGCAACAACCATCGCTGAGCGTGGTGCGCAGCAATATAATTTCAGTCCCTTGAGCATACAAGTAAAGACTTGAGGAACCATTCTGCTTAGCCAAAACTTCAGCAGAATAACTCGATATCAGGGAGAGGGAAAAAAAAAAAGCAAAAAGAGGGGTAAAAGGGGTATCGAGTAGATCTTCAATCGATACAACAAGTTAGCAAACGCCTTCGAGAACCAATACAGCCATATTCCTAATCCCAGATGAAACATCACCCAAATAACCATAAACCCCAACAAAAATTTAATATATAAGTAGTATATACTCACATAAATCACCACCCTCTGCTCATCACATAACCACCCAACTATACCCACCGTATCCCGAGTAGACCCATACATACATACCTCTACTACACCGGTCGGTTGTTATGGTAACCCTTAGGGTTACTCGACAGATCGAACCCTCCCATCCAGAGCCAAGACCCAACAAGCCTTTCCCCAAAAAGCTTGTCCTTCGTCCCCTTGCATAACGCATCCCCTCCTTACTTAAAATATCCGGTATGGACGCAATGAAATAAATCCCTCATTGTGGGCACCGGTACCGACCTTCCTGGGGTATGTCTATGCAACCTGTTTCAACCTGCATTCTACTTTTATCCTTCCTTACTCTCCGAGAATCAGAAGCGAGCCTGCAGTGTTTTTTGCCCCCTGCTGGATTTGGAAGGTGGTTTGCGTGGCATGCATAGTGTTCTGTTGCTTGTTTTTCATGTTTGAAAATTTCCGGTTAGCACGGAGAGAGAGAGAGAGAGAGAGAGAGAGAGGTGGCGTTCCCCGGGTTGATTTTTGTTAAGGTAAGGAAGGGTATAGAGTACATAGAGACGAGATACCTCTAGCCGAGGGTACAATACTCATACATACATGCTATAAATCCGTACTGTATGTATTGAATGTATGTATGTATGTATGGACAGATGCGTACGTATCTATACCGTACTGAACCATTCGACTTCGTTGATGTAACGTGTCCTCCGGGTTCAGGCCTGGGACTGTCCATAGTTCGGCTATTGTCAATCCATGGAATAAGCGGATCGAGAAAGGGTAACCGGCAAGACCTGAGTCCCCAGTGACCCTAGATACTGGTCACATGTTGTAGGTCTCAGCTCACCGCCGGATACCCCCTGGAGGCCTGGATTACATCACTTAAATAGGCACATATGTACTCCGTACACCGCTACACTGCAGGGGTGCTCGGTTGGGGTCATGCACATGATCTATCAAGTCTAGCCCGGTTCGGAAGCCTAAATGGTAGTACAGAACTGAGCCCTGATCCCGGCGCAGCCGCACCGACAAGGAGGGACGCCCTCCTCTTGACGTGGGACTCGATTCTCGACTCTCCACGGGGCTACGAATTCGCTACGTTTGCCCAGCTACTGTTTAGTTGAGGAATCTGGTGGATGCTCTAAGAAAAAGAGTATATAAGCAGCTAGAAATCAGGATGTCTATAGATGCAAGCCAAGAATGTGTATACATGTGCCGGGAACCGCCAAAGTATTAGGCAATATTTGATTGGGAACTGTTGGACCCGAAAATCACCAAACAGAGCTAAGGAAAGATACAAAGCAAGAGATGAGCCATAAGCAGATCAACTTGAATGAACACTAGTCTTTATCGATTGAATGCTATAGTATAGTTTGACTGGGACTGGCTAATTGAACAATAATATCAGGCATTTCTCATCATCTCTCATCAAGGTCGTGAAGACGTGTGTCGTCACTCAGACGGTGTGGAGGTGGTGGTAACGTGCCGCGAACAGACCACAAAGCCAGAAAACCTGCGCTTGTCCGCCAGTGCACTACTGCACCCATGACGGCGGGTAAAAATTGTTGTCATCGACCGACGCAGCAGCGGGGTCAAAGAGCGCCGCGGGCCACATGGGATCTGCAGCGGACGTCGTGATCGGAAGGCTCGTCGTAGGGGTGGTCATTGGTTTGAAGGTCTGGGCGTCCGACATGGCGTAGGTGTCCTGCGACGGGAGTGGCTTGGGTTCCATCCCCATATTGGCTTGAAGTTGATGCTCTAGTGCTGCTGTCGACTCATTGGCGGACTTAAGGAAGTCGTCGATGTTGATTGAGTCCAGCTGATTTGACGATAAGAGTTGCGCCTGAGGAAGGCCAATGAAAGATGACGCGGAACTTATACGGAAATGATCGAGATCTGAGCCTTCGCTCCCACTGGTGAGATCTTGAAGGTCATTGCCTGCGTTTCCAAAGCCGGAAAACGGTGCGAAATCCTCCACTTCGGATATATCGCCAGATGAAGATGGGGCTGGTAGACCATGGCTCATAGAGTTGTAGTCGAAGCTCGCGTAAGAGGGAGCTTGTGTGCTGGTCGCGGCAGGAACATCCGAGGAGTACAGAGGAAAACTTGACCAATCGACAGGGGGTGCGTTGAACCCTGTAGGGCCCAATGGCATATCGTTGTCTGGCGACGTAAAAAACTGCTCCTTGTAAGGATCCTGGAACGCCATGGTGTTCACGGGCGATGTGGTCGTGGTCGGGAAAGTAGAGAAGGACGAGACATCAAGAGGCGGTACACTGGTCATGAGTGGATTTAGGGGCGTCTTCCCCATGGAAAGGGACACCGGCTCGGCCTCAGGGGGCTTATTCATGGGCTGAGGCTGAGGGAAGAAAGACGAGAGGTCGAGTGGGGGGACTGTCGTCGGTACATCTTCCGTGGACACGACGGGGGCACTCTCGGGAGACCCATGCTCGGACTTGACACGACGCTGAGGAGCGTGGGTGGGCTGCTGTTCCGGAAATGGTTGAGTCGCAAATGGTTCGTTCATCAAGGCCGCTTGAGTCAAGGGCATCTGATCGACGGACCGACGAGACACATCGGAGGTCGAGTGGATCGTATGAGACCGGGGAATCGTGTAAGGCAGACCACATTTGTGAGCCATGTCATTGTGCTTATGAGCCGGTTTGTGGTGACCATCTCGGAATATCGTAAGCGTGCTCTCCGACTTGGTCGAGGTCAACTGGGGCTTCTTGGGTGGTTCCGACAGAATAGTATGCTGAGGCAGAGGAAGGCCAGTTTCCGGCACAGTATTTAGGTGGGGTTCCTTCTTCAGCGCACATGTACAGCGCTGTCCATGAGTGCAGCCACATCTTGGACGGGAGTCCTCTGTAATGCAGATCAGAAACAATGAACCAGTGTACCAACTCCAACATGCTCACGCTTGTGATCCCGCTTATCATTGGCGTGGTGGGGATCTAAATCATGCTTGTGGCTGTTCTTTTTCTTGTCACCACACTCGCACTTTGTGTGGGTTGTCCGTGACTTGCGTAGACCGCGACAGTGAGCGCATTGAGAGACTGGACGGCCTTTTTTATTGATGTGGGTCAAGGGGCGGTCTGTGATCTCCAGAGTCAATCATCTTCCTGACTCACAACAAAAGGCGGGGTCTATCGACTTACCACTGTGGTGACAGCTGCTGACACGGTGACCCCGGACGCAAGCTTCACAAGCCCACTTCTCGCCATCAATGAGCATTATCGCGGTTACTGGGTAGCAAACATGCGATGACTCGCGACGAGTATATAGGAAGTAATTTAAATTGGAGATCGAGCGGTAGATAGCACAGGGCTCTCTGGCTATTCTAATCGTTTTTTTCTTTTTCTTTTCAAAAGTATTCAATAACCGAACAGGAAGACCTGTCGGGGGGTATCGAAAGTCCCGTCAACGCGAGGATTCGAGGTATAGTGTGCGGTCCGTCAGGGTGATCGGACCGACCGAGACCAGGAAAAACTCCAACAAAGCAAGGGTATCTCTTAACGAATATCCCAATGCACCAAACTAAGTCACAGAAAACGCCGTTTCACCTATCAAGGTGCAGTCACAAGTACGAAGGTGAGGGTGCGAGACAATTAGGGTACCTGGCGAATAGCGCACACCCAGGAACCAGGAACCGGGGAAGGAGGGGGCAAGTCGGATCGGGACTAAGAGAGAGCCCAACAGATTATAGAAAAAGAGAAAAGGAAGAGAACAACTGAATGGGGGGGGGGCCAAAGCCTACGCACCGTTTGGCGCCGGCCGTGAGACAGGACACCAAATACCGGCTGTGGCGGCCAAGATAAAGGGGAAAGGCGATCGATCTGAAGGCAGAGTTGTGTGCCAAACCCTGTGAGAAGAAGAAAGGAAAAAGGAGAAAAAAAGAGGAGGAGGAAAAGGCGGGAGGGAAGCGGGCGAAGAAGTAGGTTAGGTTAGGTTATGTTAGCTGACTCCGACCCGTTTCTACTCCAACTTAACTTGGGGGGGTAAAAGTGAAATGGACAGGGTTAAGGCGGAAATGGCCCAGGTCAAATGTGGAACATTTCGGCGTCCGCAAGGGAGTTGCGTCAATGGTGGCTGTGTCTCGCCGGAGTCAGCCAGACCTGGAACGAGAACAGACCGGAAGGAAACAATTTTATTTGAATAGATGGAGAGGGGAAACCAGCGCTTAATATCATTGTTTTCCAATTCGAATTGATATTGTCCGTTTTCTTTAGGGATCCTACGTTGATTTGTCACAGTTTCTTTACTCGATCAATTCAAGGTCCAGGATGTTTCACGCATGGACATAACTTTTCTGGTGAGGACTTGTCATGCACCCCGAGTATGGAATGCTTCGTGGTCTGCTCCACAGTACATGGATGTCCATGGTTATTACCGTATTGTACCTTTACAGGTGCTTTGTCCCTCGTGCTGAAGCTACCCGCACATAACGGAGCATGCACACACAACACTCAAGCTCATTTGTCCTGTTGTCTTTTTCCTTTCCCTTTAGCTAAGGAGTAATCCTTGAAGTCAGCCCTGAGAGGATCAGAATTTTCATTGTACAGTTTGGTAAAGCTGCATTTGCGGATGTGTCCCGGGAGTGGCTGCCTTCCTCGAGGTAGGCATAATCCAAAAGTTGGCGATGACAACACAGCCAGTGATAGCGTCACACAGATTGGCATTACGCACAAATTATTGTCCGGTCCAGAGCAATTGCCGTAATAAGAATTCCAGGTCAATTTGTAGATTATGTTATGACTGTTCTCCAAGAAGTTGTACGAGGAAGTACAGGCCTAGTACTTACATAAAAGGTATGCATGCAGGTATATGTATGGTCATATCTGGAGTCTCAATCACAATTAGGAACAATAATAATAATAATAATAATAATAATAATAATTAAAAACTAGAAAACCGAGCACAGACACAGACTTGTACGTCCTGTATCTTCGATTCAATGCAAGGGGTCTCTGACAACCGCTACCACAGAGGGATTCTTCTTATCCCAAGCTATTCAATAACTTGGGACGCCAGCCGCGATTTACGCCTGAATTGTTAGGGTGGTTACTTACCATGGGCTAGTCACTGGTCATTGTTCAACCTAGGGGACGTAAAGGTGGATAGGTAGGTTTTAGGGTACAAGAATACTGAACGACTGGAGAACAGAGGCTTGGTACGGAAAGTTGGGGGGACTGGACCAAACTCTGTCCACTGCTCGATGGATCCTGTTACGAAATTTCTGGGGCAGAACCCGGGCCGGCGAATACTTAACCACTGTGGATTTTCTAGACCGAGTTTTCGTGCTTGTTGAATTTGGTTTTCAGAGAGGTACTCGTAATACCTCCAGAGTACCCGATAGCGCCAAGTGTGCCCGAATATCTACTTTTCGCCCTGTCGACTACAGAAGATAGTCACGGATTTCATTGACCGACCGTCCATAATAGTGCCCTGTAGAACTACAACAATGACCATGGGATACCAGATTCTTTGCCACTCTGTTACGGTCAACTCTTCTAGAAGGTCAATTTGGATATTCCATGCAGACGAAAACCTTCCAGTTGAGCCAGTCATTGGAAGGCTTTATCAGTATGGTTAGACAGGCACCAACGGTGGACCATGGTTGTCAATGCGGTGAACCAATTTGAGTTGAACTTTCCCTCAGTGCCCGGCGCTCTTTCGCGGCAGGGTTGCCCAGTATCACCATGGCACGGGTGGGCAAAGATGAAGATCGATTGGTATGAACGCCATCGTTCTCCATCTGCCAGCCGTGTTACTATGTTTCTTCTATTCGATAAATTTTGGGGCCCAGAAGGTGAAGTCAGATCTTCTGCGCCGACAGTAACGAATTGTATTGTATTGTATCGTCGTGTATCCGGTCGAGCGTTCCAAGGCTCAGTCGTCGTTTAAATGAGTCAGCGCCGCCATCCCAGCACATCGAAGTACGTCAAGCACAAAGCAAAGATAACCGTACCTTACCTATCAGAGATCGAAACAGTCAAGGCCAGGAAAATATTTGCATCACTGGTCATTCGCTCGTGGTTGCCATGGTTGGTCCTCAGATCTCCCATCGCGACATCACGGGTTGTTGGGACAGTGAAATGGCGTCACAGCTGCTTGATTAGGACCTTTGCAGCGGTCTTGCCGGCCGGTCATGTGCAGTGGAGGGGGCCTTGATCTGCGCGGCGTTGGCGCATGGCTGCTCCACCAATGATAGCCTCTTTCGGAGAGAAAATGGGGTCCTTTCGGACCTTCCGTCTTCTCTCGTCAGCCAGTTGAGAACCGACAACTTATAACAACCGTCCCAGAATTGGAAAGTCCAAGGGCTATAGGTATCTGTTAGATTGGAGCTATTTACTACGTGTGTAGTGTATATTAGCCGCCGGACAGAAGGATGATTACCAGCTCTTTCTATACTGATAAATGTCATGCCTCATACGGTCTAGAGGCTAGAGCGCGCAATAATAATATCAACCCTAAAAGACGTAAGTATAAGAGAATATGGCGAACCATAAAACTACCTCGAAAAACGCTCTGAAAGCTTCAACGCTTCTTCAACAGGATAAAATTTGACTTCCAGAACAGAAAACCCAACCTATCAGTACCTCAGGTACACTTCGTGTATGGTGCCTCGAACTATACCTTACTCGGACACTTGTGGATCATCACCAGACCCCAAGGCCAATCCCCAGACAGTCTATAGATAGTCCCACTTGTTGATCCGCCGCTTCAACCTAGGGATCGTCTTATGGTGCAACTTTAGCCGCCCACAGCAAGAGCAGACAGAAGACATCAAGATAAGATCTACTAAAATCCAGGCCTGCCAGTAGTATTCATAACTGTGAATGTCTCTCATGTTTCACTCTCGGGATCATAAAAATAGCTATACTCAGTCTCTGACAGGGTCAATTTAGAACGCTTCACAGCCCGGTGGATCTGTTTCAACCTACTGTGCGCCGGTCTGCCCCAGTCAACGGACCGTATCCGCATTGTGGAGGGGACTTAAAAACTACTCTTACTTATCTCGGTCTAGTCCCACATAGTTCAGTTGCGCAGTCTGAGTCCATTGGGAAACAAATTTTTACAGTTGTATTTGGGCCAGATAAGGGAGAGGCCGATACTGCTCAAGCGAATCGGCTTATTTATTGGCAGTCTAAGTGTGAAAGATACTGTGTAGAGGATGATGGGCGGCCGATTGAGCAGGTCTGAGTTAGCTGCTTCTACAAATGGAGCCCATGAAATCAAGTTGTGTATACTCCAGAGTAATGATCCTTTGTTCGTACGGGGTACACGACAGATCCACTGCTGATATCAAACATTGCCCGACTGACAGGTTTTGCGTACGGCTAGTAGTCAAAAGTCAGGACTCCTTTGTGCCCATGTGGAGTGCACCAGCTTCCTGGGACCAGCTGGAATATGAGGTTGTCGCTGGGCGGTTTCAAAGTAACACATCCAAGATAACAACAATCAACAGCTGAACAGAAGAGTGATGATCCATTCCAAAAACCTAAATATAATAGTATATCGATGCAACGTGTATCCCATGTATTGACAACTGGGTTTATCCGAAATATGATCGAGACGTTGACGAACAGCAAAAGCAGTTGAATCAAGATATAGCCCTGAATGTCCCGGAGCTTATGCTGCTGTCTAAGACAGTGTTATAGAGGAGGAGAAAGAAGAAAAATTGAGGATATTAGCATGGTATTGGCTCGATACCCATACGCAATGTACTGTGTACTGGTATAATGTATTCGGCTTCCTTAATATTGCACTCACAAATGGAATCGAAGTATCTGTGGAGTACCTTTATAGGTTAATCAGTCCTGCAGATTTATAACACCGAAGGATCTGTGGGGAAAAAACAATTCAATATATCGTCTCCTGACCTTATGCTCAAATCTGTGAGGTTATCCTAAACCAGCAATTCAAGCTCCTGGTAAGAGATACCAAAAAGCCAAACAATTTCGCAAATACTCCGTAGTGTAAACTCATCTAAAAGGTATACTATATCTGCATTAGTACACCTATTGCATCGCCAGCGAGAGTTGGAGATGTGGTTACTTACCGAGGACAACGAAAATGTGGGGACTATACCGTTAGTCTTCCCAATATGTGATACTATAAAATGTTACGAGCAGATGTGAGAACAGAAGGATGGCCTTCAAGGGGCTTTTAGAATACAGTAATGACAAAAAAAATGATGGTGGTGGTGTCGGACTGACATCATCTCTGACGTTGGGTCAAAAGAGTCGCCTTAAATGCTTCATGTACAAGACGGATCAGGTTAAAATCGAGGGGTGCGATCATGATTCCCTGAGCCCAAGAGATCTTGCCCAAATCTACCAAAATGCTAACTTTTCCCCGTAGAAGCCCTCGACCTCCGATATTCTTCCGCCTGAGATGCGGTTTGGTCGAGTTCTGGGCCGGTGGGAAATAGTATTAATCCGTCGCTGGACGCAGAAACAAAAAGCCGGTCCTCCGCATCGGCGCGATCATCCAAGTATGAAACTATATTCTCGTCCCCGAGCCTTCATAAGATTCAGCGATCCTCATTTCTGTAATTCAATCGCGCGATCATGTTTGCTGAGTCTTGCGAATTGCGCCGAGGGCAATCGGCACTAACCCCTTCAAAACTGCCCCCCGCCCAGGCAGTTTTAGCCTGTAAAACCTTGCCTGCTGTCCTCGCGTCTTCCGTCCTTCAACACTCTCCCTCTTACATCTCCCGGAGCGTCGCTCCAACGCGCACCCACACATTTCACGAGCGGTATTATTGTTTCTCGACACAATGAATTCCCGCGAGCATTCTGATATGCCTCCGACCGCCTCCTACCCGTCCCCCAACGCGGCGCAGATGGGTCAGGGCGCTATGCAGTACTACGCGAACCGCCAGTTGACAGCCGACGAGCTCTTATCCGCTGAGCTATCCCGCGAAACTTCCGGCCCCGGCCTCGCAGACGGTTCTAGCAATGGTGTTCATCATGGCCAATCGATGGTCTTGGGGTCCTCGAACCCTGGTGGCGGTGATATGGGCCGTCCTTCGTCTCCGGACCAGCATCAACAACAACATATGCTACAGTTCACCCCCAGCCAGCAAGTCGGTGTCGACCCAAATCACGACTTAAGTTACGGAGACCAGAGCGCGAGGAGAAAAAGATCCAAGATTTCTCGCGCCTGCGACGAATGCAGACGCAAGAAGGTAGGTTCCACCTCACTGTTTGCCTCCAGACGCGACATTGTTTTCGATGACCTAACCGCGTGCTTTCCTAGGTTCGCTGTGATGCAAGCTCTGAATCTGGCGTGGAAACCTGCTCGAACTGTCGCCGACTTGGGGTTGTCTGTCAATTCAGTCGCGTCCCCATGAAGCGTGGCCCCAGCAAAGGGTGATATTTGTCCTTGTTTCCCTACTGATGATGCTGTCGCGTTCGGCTGACGATATACAATAGTTACATCAAGGAGCTTGCAGAGCGTCTTCACACCCTTGAAAGTCAAATGCAGCCTGCGATGGTTCACCCCGATATGCCGTATCAACCTATGAACGAAGTGTCGTCACCCAGGGCTTATCAAGACTTCTCGCCACCAATGGATGCAGGCTCCATCGGACGCAAGCGGACCTATTCTGTATTCGAAGGACTTCCCAGCTCCTCTTTCACACAGCCGCAGTTCAATTCTCGCTCTCAGAATGCTTTCGGTTCGTGCCCGTCAAATAGTGTGTGATCTTACCCTACTAACTATACAAGACACAGGAGAAACCTCAACCGATCCGTACAACCCGTCCGCTGTGAGCGGTACAGCACCAAAACCCGGTAACTTATTCTGGACGACTGGTAATGAGACGGAGTTGCCACATGGACTAGAGATGCCAGAAGTACCTAAGCAAGCTATGGAAGAAGACATGACTCCCTTGGACGTGGATGAGGGATCCCTCAACGCGTAAGTCCACCATGGACTTAGCAATCCCAATCCCCCCGAGCAATACATACCCTAACTACAAACAGTTATTATCAAAAGATCCATCCCGTCTTTCCTATCTTGTCACACTCCAAGGAACGTCTACTCGAGATTCTACACCAGTGCAGCCGTGAGGTGCAGGAGATTTTCCTTTACAGTTTGTACACTGTGACGCGCACCAACATGGATCGCGTTATAAGCACCTTCGAAAGGGTCACGTCATTTGATAATGCACAAGACCTTCTCTTGTACTATACCCGACAGCCAGCTTTGGCCCGGCCGACAGGAGTTAACCTGATCTGGTTACAGACCATGTTACTAATGATTCTCGATTGCGATTCTCGGGGACCAGACAACTTTGTTCTCAAGGACGGCGTACCTAAACATTCCCTGATTCAGTCTGCCAGCAAACTCGGCTCCGATTTGGCCAAGGGTCTCGGCCAGCTCAAAAGCAAGCGTTCTTCAGACCCGGATGTTGATTCAGAGGCAAACCTTGTACGTCGCAACTGGGTGGCCTTGGCAATTTTGTCTCGCTGGCATGCGATCAGCGTAGCTGACCCAAGTATTCTTGGAACGTATGAAATTGGTGGCCGTGAGGATGAAAGAGTTGTTGGCCCAGTTACCACTGGCATTGGATGTGAGTGAGACCATTATGCCCGCGCTCGAATTATAAACCTGGCTAACATTAAAACACACAGCGTACTCTACGTTCCTTGTGGAAATGGTCACACTAGGCGCCATCGAGAATAATGTTTGCCAAACAAACACTGGCTTGGGCCGTATGGTCGGGGCAAACATGGTAGCATCTCTTGAGCGTCTGACCCAAGTCGACGATTTCCACAAATCAAATGAGACCTTGGAAAGTACAGCATCTCAAAGCTTCCTTGAGAGTCTACAAAGCCAACTTGAGTGGACCATCCGGTTGCTGATCAAACGCCACATATACGTCTACAGTCCCTACGAAATAATTCACAGCGCTGTGGAAGTCATCAATGAGCTCCACAACTCGAACGCACAGTCTCGTCTTACAACGCCATTCGATCTTCACAGCTTAGCTTTAGCCTCTATGACTCTGCTGGAGGCTACCGTCATTCCAGAGCATGCAAACGAGTGCTGGGATGCGTTGAAAAGGGTCGAAGAAATTCTTGACTATCGCGCGAAGCGAAGCGCTGAAGCAACTGAGTTCAGCGATATCTTTGCCACCCCTGGCTGGGATTCCAAGATCCGGATATTCTTGGAATGGAGACGGACCAAGTCCCAAGAGAGCCAGCTCCAGGATCCCAGCCTGGCCAAGAGCGGCTCTGCAGCTCCCCCGGTTATGGGTCCGAACGAACAACGGTCCCTCCAGCACCTGGCAGATCTTGCTGTAGGTGCTGAAGGCACCGTGGCTGCCAACTCTGGATCCCCACCCCCTGGGCTCTCGACCGAGAGCAATCTGAATGCTACCTCGCCGAATCTTACGTCTGTCTCGCAACCGCAGGGTCGCGTTGTGGTTGACTTTACTCTCCTCACCAAAGAGGGATATCTCAACGTCTTTTCGGGTTTAATCTACCGTCGATCTCGCTGAGACGCGCTTACTGACGACGGTTGGAGGGATGTCTTGGCTGGTGGGAATGTTCCTATTCCTCATGAAAATCTATTTCAGTTGTAACTTAGCTGCCTTGTAGTTTGCTTTCCCGTCTCCTCTAATTTTCTCGGAAAAAAGAAAATAACATTTTCTATCTCTTATGGCTAATGGTATCTAGCGGGCTTAATGGTGATTCTGTATGTATTTATAACAAGTTGACAGTGATATCTATTTCTTTCTACATGCTCAAGTTGGCTTAATTCTGGGTAATGAAAAGTGTGGTTTGACTTTGCTGGAACGTACGAGTGTAGTATAACGCCAGCAATTTTGCAACTGACAGATAAAGGGTCTAGCAACTGTCATACAGACTTGAAGATCCTATGAGCCAGGGAATCTGAACCATCAGATAAATTGAAACCAGATGGAGATAATACAGGAAGCAAAGAAACAATTACTTGCCCAATGCAAACCTTCTCCATATTCCTTCCACATCCTCACAAAGCTGCAGAAATCCGTCGTCTTCGATGTTCCTGCAAATCCAGTTCTCCAGCTTCTGTGCACGCTCTGCAGTCGGCGACGCCAGATATGCTGAGATATCTGCTTCAGTGAGGAGGTTATGTTGGGGCTCCTGGAGACTAGTAGTTGGACGTTGTTTCAGAAGGCAAGGTGCATCCTGCTGGATCACAAGTGGACAATGGTGAGTAGGTAGTATGTGGGGGGTAATGATCGGCTGTGTAAGATTAGGTCTGTGGGAGACTTGACTATCGGTAGGCTCTATTTGGATGGGCTGTGCCTGTGAGGATGGACGGTATTTGAGTGTAATAACTCTTGAATTCTGCATCTTCTCCGTGGTTATTTGGTCTTGAGGTAGAACCGGTGTGCTAAGTGTTGGTTGTGTAGCTAACAGAGAGCTAAAGTTAGCTGGGGAGGATGGTTTCAAGCACTTATACAGCATATAGGACTTATGGTACCTGTATTAGGCATTGTCTTATATGCGTCTCCTGTGTATGAGATGGTAGAAGGTCGTGGTAGCAATTTTGGACACGGTCTCTTTGAATGTTGCCTGGGAAATGGCAGGTCTCTTTTCGGGGGTAGAAGCTGATTGAGAGCATGACTGTCGTGGCAAACTGTAGCTGATGAAGGTCTGGATGCTGCTCCAGTTGAGGTACCGTCACTCGATGTGTGAAGTAGTGATTGTCTCATAGGAGCAGTAGCGCTGATTGAATTGCGTCTTTTACTGTCATTGGGCGCTGAGTGACCTGGAAAGGCGGTATATGCGGATAGACTCAGTTTGTCTATAAGTCAGGTTAGGTGAGTATATGATCAGTGTTCTTAAGCCAGGATTGAAGTGTGTTACCGGAAGTAGGGTCTGGTGTCATCACCGGCAGACTAATTGCCGGTGAATATAGTGGGGAAGGCGGAATTCTCAGAGAAGGGATATCAGCTATTCCAGGTGCAGGTGGCACTGGCCCTGTAGGCCACTGTGATGAGGCCAATCTGCGAGTCCCTAACATTGAGCCAGGATTTGACTCTGAGAAAGGGCACTTGATATCACTGAGTATGGAAAGTGCACTGTAAAAATCACGCTCCAAGGAGAACTTTATCTGAAACCGACGAATCTACACTATATCAGATAAAGGATCCCAAGCCATTATATATCGGTCAAACGAACATATCCATCCCTTTCTAGATATTTCACTGCCAGGCATGGCAGCTTCACGACAACAGCAAAGATTGGCTTTGTTTGGCCATGTTGACTTGACTGGGGCTGATTTATAGCATCTCTTAAGAGGTTCGCAATATCAATCTGCTCCTAAAGAAGTGGTTGTATTAACGTTAGTAATATCTACGGCAATATGTATGACTTCAATTCTTACAAGGATGTCATGGCCACGTATGACCTTTAGCAAAACCCTGCTATAGAGAGGTGCGGGTATTGCGTGCCTTTCAAATATGCAGATAATATCACCATTTCCGATTATATGACTCCAGTTAAAAGGGCCCCTGTGACTGACAGAGGTGGTTGTAGAAGAAAACTTCGCCAAGGACAAACAGGCGAGCTGTGTGCCCTCTTGGGACCGCTGAGTAGGGTGATACATACTCGGATAGAACTATATATGAGAAAGAAAGACCTGTGAAACTTAACAATTGACTATGGCTTAAAGCGTAGAAGTAGCCCTGGGGCTGTACTTGAGCAAGTGCCAGTACTTGGTACTTAGTAGATCACCTGAACTGTACTAGTAGTAGTTGACAGATGACTTAAGGAGCAACCAATCATTCGAGACGGTCCCAACATATAATGGAACTACTAGTACTGGTACTAGTAGTAGTAGTACTGATCACCATTAATCTTAGCAACATGGAAGCTTTAATAAGAAAATGTTTTATTATAAAGAAAAAGTAAAGTAAACGTTATCACGTCGTCAATAGCGCTCCACTTAAACTACCCGGTAGTACTCCGTACTAATAGTATGACATCTGGGGTGTGCATCTCCAATCAAGCGATTAGATTGTAGATCCGGGGAAAGGTTACTTGTTTGCCTTGAAAACAAGGCTGAATTTAATGACTCAGCAGGACAAACGTGACAAACATACTCAACAACGGGAATACAGATATTCCGGGAACGCGCCTGAGGCCTGCCTGCTGTCCTGGCTGCTGGCTGCGCGGACTTTTGTCTGAAATGGTAGGACGGATCGCAGGATCAGCGATCAGCTTGCGTTCACGAAGCCCACCAAGGGCCACAACTTAAGCATTGACGCTCAGATTTCAATTATTCCTGTCGCCAATTGTTTCCATCACCCGCGCAGGGTCGTCGCACCACTTTCCTCAACACTCTGTGACGCGGACTTCTGTTTTCGTTCCGCAGTCGCATCCTCTTTCCCTCAACAGCCAGTGCTTTCCCGATAGCTTTGAAACGCGCTCAAAATCCACGACTTCACGCAAAGTGTAGACCTGTTCGAGCTCGACAGTCGATCCTGTCTCTACAGAAGAACATTACCCTACCCCTCGTTCGCTACCGGATCCCCGGTTCGAAAAAGGAAAAAGCGAGAAGCCACGATCAACCCTCTACATTCGATTTGCGCGTTCTACTCCGTATATCCAAAAACACGGGGGAGACTGAGATTCTGGAGTCAACACGAAGTTGTCCAGCAACTACTGCTCCCAAGTCGTGTGAGTTTGGCTTTGGGTTTTCAAAGGGAGCTCAGTAAAGAAGAAAGCTCCAGTATTGGAACTTATTCAGATAACCCTTCACTCAGCTGCGACTAGCTTGGGTTAAGTTGAAAATGAGTACTGCTACACCACGCACGTCCCTGCGTGGTAAGTGATGCCTTTCTCCTTTAATGAGACTACCTTTTCAAAGGTTGGACTTCTATTAACTGTCAGTAGAGGGCTTGCGGCAAGCCCCAAAGGCCAACCAGCCCTTCATCCCAGATACTGCGCCGGTTAGACGCTCACATGTGCACGCACACCCACAATCACCACAACCAGTATCAATGTCCCAGACACACGCCAACTCCGTCGCCTCAAATAGCCCTCATCCCACAGTCGAAAGTTGGGAAGGGAGAGAGCAGAAGGTTCCAATGTCCACACGTGAGGTAGCCACGCCTGGAAATCGGCCAGGCCTCTTCATTGGCCTTAACGACAGAGGAAAGACAGCGAAGCAGCCTGACTTTTACGATCCATACTTTCCCCTCAGATACTTGGAGGTACCGAAGTGTACGTGGGCTTGTGCTGTACCGTTTCAAGCTTTGTTGGCATAACTGACACTTTTTTTCCAGCGGATCATATCTACAAACGGGCCCATTATGGCCTACAATCAGGAATATCAGATGAGGTTGATTTCGCGCTGTACCACCTTGTGCAAATATCCAACCAGAGATGGGATAAATTCAAGTTTGAGGGTTTTCCACTACTTGCGGAAACTCTGATGGAGAAAGCCATAGATATATCCATCCTTTGCACCGGCGTGAAATGGGAACTTCAGTATGATTTTCGCCAACCCACCGACCGTGTCAATGTGTTGAACTCACTCCACGGCACCCGAGATATTTTGGAGAAAATTAAACAGATACCTGTAACCTTGCCAGACGACACCCTTGAGACCTATGAGTTCAATCACCGTCTTCGCAATGTTAAAGAGGCCTCATTGGTTCTCCGGAATATGGTTCTGCTCAAGGAGAACGCTTTCTACGTATCGCGTTACGCCAAAGGACTACTGAGGGACTTCCTAGTCATTTTGATTAACCTCCCTAACCAGCCACGTCTAAATGAAATTAAGAATGACGCATTGGATATTGCAGAGGAAGTTACGAAGTTCATGAGGACTGACCCTGAAGACCCCCTTTGGATCTCCTTGCTTGGCTGTCTCGAGTCACCAGACCGTGCACACGTTATTCGCGCCCTTTGGGCTCTTACTCATTTTTCAACGGAGCTAGACGACCAGGAGGCAAACCGGGCAATGGAGCGTGTACCAAAAGATACTCTGCAACAGTTGTACTTCCACACGCTGCTTGACCAGGATAGAGATATCCTAAGCGGCGCACTGGACTTTTGGTATCAGTATACGCTTTCTCGGGAGAACATTGAGAACCTGATTGACATTTTCAACCTTCCTATTGTTTTTGCACCGCGCATGATCGCCTTGTTAACGCACGATGCGCGGCCCAGCAAGAAGGAAACGGTTTTGCAAGAGGAGAAAGTGGCACCACCCCCTTCGGAAATTCCCCGTGTCCCCCCCGAGCTCTTGAAAGACCTAATGGAGCTGTCTGAACCTGAGCGCAGCTCTCGATGGCTGCGTTGTTGCTTCGTCGAAGATGCTGATTGTGAGATCACCCAGATCGCCCTATGGCAAGCGTATCAAAGCCGTTTCGCAGACCCTCGGGTTCCTGGCGGGGGTGTTCTACCGGCGGCCGAGTTCATCAAGAATGTCAGCACAACTTTCACAAACGCACAAGCTCAGGTCATCAACGGACCTGGTGCAACTACTAGGTTCATTATCAAGGGTATCAGACCTTTGGAGACTGCCTACACTTTCCAAGGCTTCCCTTACCTGTACTGCAAATGGACGGACAACTCGAAACCATCTAAAGCATGCCAACGCGCCTTTAAAACGCCAACCGATCTTCGCGACCATGTTTTCTCGGATCATATGAACCTTGCCACGAGTGGTGAGGCGCCGGGTCATTACAATCTGGACAAAGCCGAGTCACCAATGCACACCTGCCTTTGGGACAACTGTACTAAATTCCGCTCGTCTGGCCCCAGTGCTAACACTGCCATGGTGGCAGGCCACGTGTCTTCACATTTACCCGAAGAGCGACCCGCAGATGCTGAAGCGCCATCTTCCAAACGTCCTGTACTCCAGGAACGTATCGTTCGTAAATGGTTTTACCTGGACACACCCGTCAATGAGAGAGGAGAACCCGTCGGAGTGGCGTACAAGGCTGCATTAGTCCTGCGCAATCTTGCAAGGAATCTACCGGACCGAGTCGCACAGCAACACGACGGTCTATCATGGAAGAAGGCCGTATTTCTAAGCCATCGCCCAAGGATCGTCGAGATTTGGGACCGTAACCGGTCACTACGCAAGGAACTCACCGAGTTAATTATGATCCTAGAACGAGAGGAATATTACTAAATCCAACAGAAAAAAAGAAAAGAAAGAAACAAAAAAAATCAACAAGGAAATTCATTGTCCAGTCAGAGCTTCTCTCAAAGTACTACCTACCTATTTACTATATGAGCTCTCTCGGTACTCTTTGGATCCCACTCTCTATCTGTCGTATCATTCCTCCGGTTTCCCCCCCTTTTCCTTTACATTATCTTTCTGCTATCTGTTGTACAAATACCCTGCATTTCCTCTGATATCTCTATTTCAATATTATTATTAACTCGGTTAATGAGTCTTTCTTGTTTCCCCATCTCTATCCATGTGCACGTGCACTTTTTGCTACTTTCACAGCCACGAACGTATGTATCGGGTTCGTGCGAAAGCGCGGTGGAATTGAGTTCTATTCTTGTCTAAGAGATCAGAGACGAATCTGTTAATGTCGGGAGGGCTAATGTAACTTGACTCTACATGGCGTCTGGGATATGAGGTAGAAATGGTGAATGGCTGCTATCCCTTTTTTTCGCTTATCGTGACACATTATCTTCTTTCTATAAATGGTTTCTTTTGCCCTCGGTAATGCTGCATCTGCTCTACTTTCCATGGTGGATTTGTGTACTATATGGAGTGGGTACGTAGCTAAGTGAAGAAAACTAGCTTCCCCGTCTACTTAATGGTGGGTTTGTTCGGTTGTGTTGACTTCTCTGGATGCTTAAGCCATGGTTTAATCCAACGGCTGTTTCTAGACTTTTATAATTAAATACATGGATTCGAGTATATCTGTCGTCGCGTAGTGTCATTAGGCAACCGGCTTCACAGTTCAGGTCAGGCACCGAATCGTTGTCAGTTAATGGGCTAGCAGGGTATAATCCATAGTTCCATACACGTCCTCAATGAAGTTCTCATAGTTCAGCCAAGACATCTCGTTGGTAGCCACCGGGCACCCAAAATCAACCGCATCCCAGACACTCGGCCAAGAACCAAGCTCAACAGTCTCTGGAAGGGCCACAAGAGGGGCAGCCTCAGCATAGGTGCCCGTACTTGGGATAACATCCCCCGCGGAGGGTTGCATACTCGCCTGAGAGCAAACGGGTGCTTGTAAGGGAGCAGCAGCTCCAGGAAAGTGCATCGAGTATGGAATGGCATCTGGTGCCGCCAATAGCTCATTTCGTTTTGCTTCTGCTTGCGCCATGATTTTTTCCATCGGCTTCCAGATCATCCCACTGCGCGAATCGGCGATTAGGTCGCCCATGTTCTCGTATGCTTCTCGGACCGGGCCCCAGAAGCTTTCTATTAGGGAGTGATCCTCGCAGACGCACAGTTCGGCGATGGCTACGGCGAGTGAATGCCAAGGGACGAACATGAATTCGCACCATCGCCATGGCTGGCCTCGTGGGTCGTTGCGAACAGTTTTCGACTTCTTCAGGACGTCGACGGCTATTTGGAGAAGACGGTCTCCACGGACACGGGGAGGGACGAAATTCGTGTTTCGTTGTAGGGGTCGGAGGACTATTAGTTGTAGGGAGGCGCTTATAATCTCGGCTACTTGTCTGGTGTACCAATGGAATGGGATTTTATCTGGTTGGGAGTTCTGGAGTAGCTTTGAAGCTGTCTCTTGGAATTCGATTACGAGCTGTTGGCGCTTGTTGACGCAACTCACGGTTTTGTCGATGAAGTCTGAAAAATTGAGCAGCCGAACGGTCGATTGCGCTTTTAGGGTCATCATTGCGAAGGTCATGTCTGTGAAACCCCCAGCTTCTTGTACTGGGCCATCCATGCCGAAACTTATGTCGCAATCGTTGACGTTTGAGGGTGGGTTTGAGTCCACCCATTTCGCTTGCATCATGGGCTCTGATGCGCGCTCCAAGGAGCACTGTATATCGAGAAGACCGATGTGGGTCCACAGGCGTCGACGCAGTTCACGTTCGAACGGTCGTACAGGAAACGGTAGCTCAGGGAGGTGGAGTAAAATGGCTTGAGCAATACGGAGGGCCATGCTCAGCATAGTCCAAACCCGCCGACTCGAGTCTTGCGACCGCGAAGCTAGCTGGATTTATCATATTGTTAGAAAATGTTCCCTAAAAATAGTTAGTATGTAACAAGGGCACTTACCAGAAACAGAACAAAAGCTTGCAGGATAGCCAAGTCATTGCTAGTCATGAAGTCCGCTTTTGCTAAGGCTGCCTCTGACTCCTGTTGGTATCGTGTCACTAGCCAGCCTTTATTACAACCAAGTAAATTTTTACTCTCATCTTCCGTAATGCTACATGCTGCTGCAAAGCGGATTGAAGAAGCAAGTGCAGCAGGAGCCATATGTCCCGGCTCATAGTCGAGGTAGGATTTACCATCGAGTAGAAACACTTTCAGCGAGGGCGCATGTAGGATTTTGAACGCCGGGTCAACTTTCTCTAAAAAGACCTGAACTAGGTTTTTCTCGACCTGTACAGTGACATTTGGCTCTCTAGTGGCCATTGACGAACCAAGCTCCCTTGGTGTCGCAAGAAGCTCCCTAAATTTCATGGCATCATTGCTGGAAGTACGGCCCTCATTGATTGTGCCATAACTCTTAGTACTGCGTATATCGTGTATCTGTTATCGTGCCGTTAGAGCTGTGCTTACTAAACAAAGTCCAGATAGAGCCATTATACCTCTTTTAAAATGTTCGCCCAAAGTGAATTCTCTGTCCCAGGCTCGTACTTATCCGCTTGCGTGTTGGCAGGCGCTGGATCTGACCTGCCCGAGCTACTGGAACTGACCTGTGCAGCGATTGTGCCATCATCATGCTCAGTCAATTCTCGAAGTAGCTCTTCAAGTCTGTCCACACGCTCTTTCAAGCCTGTGTCGTGTCCAGAAGCATTCTTCCCTGTTACCCTGCCAGAGCGGCCTCGCGGTAGTCGCGCCCGTTCGACAGGGACACACGTAGCGCCGAAGCGCTGGCAGTTCGTGCAGGGGTTAAGCTTGTCACACTTTACCTTCCGTTGACGACACAATTCGCAGCTCAGCCGGACCCTGGGCGTAGACGTGACTGGCTGGGATAATTCCTTCCCGGTCGATATCGGCCTGCGATAATCCGCCATCACGGGACCAAACCGCTATTCGGAATGCGAATTAGCAAGATATCTATGATTCGGTAGAATCAGTGGGAGTGAGCCATACGAATATATAATATTAGATAGCACAGGGGCCCGTTTAGTCTTATTATTTTAGACAGGTATGTACACCGTCAACGGTTGGCCGTGGTCAATATTAGCTTGTTGAGACATTGTTAGGTTAAGGTAAAGAGACATGGTGCATTTGCCAGTACTCCGTACTCACTAGGAGTAATTATTGCATATCTATAGGAAGATTTCGCCACCTAGCATTGGATCAATAACCATTGCGATATATAAGCTCGCTGAGGTTCTAGAGTGGAGATCCTTAGCTAGGAGGAATGATTAAATCAAGTTAAACTATCAAACACATCGTAACTTCACTTTCGGTCCGACTCCACGCCGCTTTTCCCCAACCAACATACCCGCTAGGGAAAAACAAAGATTTTACACCCAAGAAATGTCAGATAAGAGTGCCATTCATAATAACCAGTGTCATATTGAACGTCATGAAAAGGCTGTTAGGGGCCATTATGAACCATCGCTACAAAACATTTTGTCCATCAAAACCGCCAGTTTTACAGCCCTAACTCCATATCCCAAGTCATTATCAGATGAATGCAGGTTGCAGTGTCGCATGAGTTAATAAAGTAGAACGGGGCATCTAGAAGTTCAAAGGCAAAAAGGGAAGACGTGGAGGTCGTAAGACAAATGAAATAAGAAATAAATTGCGATCTGGCGCTGAGGTCTAACATAACACCAAGTATGTGCAACTTTGGTCAACATAAGAGGGAAACAACTACTCCCATACATTAGAAAATAAATCATCAGCCCCGCTAAACCCGCCTGCCGGTTTAGATGGAACGCTCATATTTGTAGTGGCTGCCGTAGTGGATGAAATAGGTGCTGCACTGGTCCAGCCTCCGAAGTCTTCGTCTGCAGCCACTGTCGGGGCTTGCTTCGAACCTCCGGATGGGGAGGTCGGAGCGCCCCAACCGGCCCCGATGTCATGGGCAGTCAGGGTATCGGGGACCTTCATCATCGATGAACCAGAAGGCCCAGCAGCTGGCGCAGGATCCGGAGTGCCCCATGCGTTACCTCCCCCCCAAGGATCTATGCTTGCCGGAAGTGCGCTTGCGATGGATGCTGTTGTGGCGGACATGCTAGGTTTTGGCGCTGCAGACATCGGGGCGGGCGCAGGGGGGTTAAGGTTAAAAGCGGCCTTCAGTTCTTGCTGCGGTGAGGTTGCTTTCGGTGCTGGAGGGGACGATACCTTGGACGAAGCAACGGGAGCAGGGGACGTTAGTCCAAAGAGATCATTGGATAATGATGCAGATGGTGGTAGTGGATTCGGCTTAGATGGTGGAGACGCGAAACTGGTGAATCCCGAGTCGAACCCATTAGAAGAAATCGATGTAGTACGGGACTGAGGCTTCGCTGCAGGAATAGTGGGAGAGGTAAGGCTATCGAACAAACTACCCCCACCACTGCCAGCAGAAGCCGTAGGAGAAGAGACCTTCGGAGCTGCAGGAGTAGACTTCTTAATGGCGAAGCTTGTTAGATTAGCAAATGGAGATGGCTTTTCCACTTGCTTTTGAGGCGGTGGAGAAGTAGTCGATGGGAAGCTAAGCCCACTAAAGGCATCCGTGAGACCACCCAGGTTAGAGGATGATGATGCTGAGGGCGGCGCAGGAGACGCCAGGTCTCCAAAATCTCCAAACGAAGAAGTACGCGCATGCTGCGCTGGGGCTGGCTGAGGCTTTGAGTAAAGAGATAGGATAGACTGCTTTAAATCGGGCCTAGAAATGCTCGTGGAGCCACCGGGGGTAGACGCCGTGCTGGACGGGCGACTGTTGGTGGCCGGCTGAGCGCTGCCAAAGAAGTCAAGGCCAAGCAGTGAGTCCCCAGGGCGTGTTGGCTTAGGAGCAGACTGAGGCTGCTTCGGCGCGGCTCGTGGTGTAGGGTCCGTGGTGCTAGGACGGGCTGGGGGGGCGATATCATCGTCAGCGAAGAGGTCGATAGAGGCTTGCTGGCGATGCGCCGCCGGTGGTTGGCTAGACGTCGCTACTCGTTGTGATGCGGAACGCTCAATCTTTGCCTTTTCCTGAACAACAGCAAGTGGCTTCAGAATATAGTCAGTCATAGTCCACCATAAGAAGATGCCAAGAATCTCACCACATCGTCATCGCCATCATCTAATGTGGAAGGATCGGGCATCGGGCCGTCCATGATCCACCGCTTGGATTCATACTTGGTCCGAATGAAGTTCTCAATTTTCCTAGAACCAACCCTCGTCAGCAACAAGTTTCTAGTCAGCCATCTGTATCATCTCGACGAATCCACTCACGCTTCCGACGGGACGTGACCGGGCGCCAGTTTCGCCTCCCAATATCTGCCCAAATCATCAGCACGCCTCTTCTTGCGAAATACAACGCCTAATCGAAGACAAACTTGTTCGCTCTCGCATTACCCCATCTCACCACGCTCTGAAGTTGTTCGTCGGTCCAGGAGTCAAGATCCACGGATTTCACCCGGCTGATATGTGTGCCCATGCCTCTATGAATACCTGAGCAACGGATACAAATGAATATTCCGAGGTTCCAGGACGCCCATCGTGGGTCTAATGAGACAATTGTCAGCTAAGCAATCCATTGTCACCGACCGCATGTAGATCTATATGTATCAAAGTGTACGGCGAGTTCCGGGGTACTAACGCTTGTTGCGCTTGCAATCGGCACATATTTTGTTGTGTTCGAGTTTCAGCAGACTCTTAATGGTCTGCTGGTTCTGAGCAGCCTGACCCGGTGTCGCACGTCGAGACATCACAATAGGAAATGCAGTCACTCAAGAAGCCGAGAAGGTTCAAGGGGAGGCGAATGGAGAGAGGATGATTGAAACACGGGGACAATCTCCCGTCAGGTGGCGGATGCGGTATTTGACAGCCTCAGGCTCCAATCAATAAATGTGGATGCCCGATTGGGTGGGGGACACGTGCCGGGTGTGCAGTTCATTGAATGCATTCAATTCAATTCAACAATGGTCTATTCAGAAATAGCTTGGACATACTTTTCCAGTTTAACGATAACTTTCTAAAGCTCTTGCCTTACATACCTCATTTGATGATGCTATTTTCTGTCGCATATGATCACATGCATATACTATTACTAGTACGGAGTACATGAATCGCTGTCCTGAGCCTTATGAACTATATACTCCGTATCGGGGCATTGTCATGACAGCCCCACCTTGAACAAAAAGCTTCCTATCAACAGATCACGACCAAGAGAGAAGAATGCTACTAGTAGACAGACTTTAAGGGGATATGTGAATTGAGTTTGATGATGACTTCTAAAGTGATTGCGCATTCATTGATCACTATATGTACCTACAATACCAACCAGTACCTACTCTCTTAAAGCTTCGACAACAGCACCCTCTAAGTTCAAAGCCGCCAACGCAATATGCCTCCCAGAGCTAAACAAGCTCAATAAATATACACCTATCCACGCCTACTGTCAAGATACGCCTAGAAACTAACTAACTAAGCCCCCAGTTACGCCTTCGCCTTTACATCCTCCCCTTCCTGAAACCTCAGGCTAACACTATTAACACAATGCCTTTCATCCGTCGGTGTCGGAAACCCCTCCCCCTTAAAAACATGCCCCAGATGACCTCCACAGTTACTGCAGACGATCTCCGTCCGCTGCATCCCAAAGGTATGATCCGTATGCCTTGTCACAGCACCAGGGATAGAATCAAAATATGCGGGCCAGCCGCAGCCGGACTTGAATTTGTGTGTCGCCTTGTATAGCGGGGCATTGCACCCCGCACAGCTGTATACACCCTCAGAGGGGTAGTGGGAATCATACTCGCCAGTGCCAGGACGCTCGGTGCCCTTTTCACGGAGGATGCGGAATTGTTCTATAATTTTTCGGAGTATTGTTAGTTGGGTTCTAGTTGCGTGGGGTTCCCGGGACGAACCTGGGCTTAGGACGGCGCGCCATTCTTCGGCGCTGCGCTGGTCGGGGTAGGACATGCTATTGTTGTCGGTTTCGGGTTTAGCGGTTGAGGTGAAGAAAGAGCTTAGAAATGGGAGGATTCCTGGGGCGGCTTTGAGTGTAGTGGACTTTGAGATTGGGAGGGATGGTTTATTCGGTTGAGAGGCGGCTTTCGTGATGAGGGTTGTGGGCCGGTAGTATCTGAAGGAGGAGGTGAAAGTGCGGAGGGCTGTGGAGAAGCGTTGGATGCGCATTAGGTTCGTAATTATGGAATAGAGAGTAAAAGTTGCGCAAGACTAGTTTTGGAAGTGTAGAGAAATTTAGCCTCTTTAGAACTAGAGAAGTCGATGTATTTCTCCGATTTGCTTCAGCAGTTTACGTCATAAATCCCGATTGCGGAGCAAATTAAGTGAATTTTACAAGGTATTCATCAAAGATAGTTCTTCTTATAAACCATACAAGTTACAATAGATTCCACTATAAAAATTGACAATACTGAATATCTACTCCAAATGCATAGCTAGATGATCAGACATTGCAACAGGAGTATCTCGACAAATGAAGCTCAGGGTTCAACGACGTCGCACCACACCAACAACAGTCAAGACTCCTTCGCCTACTTCCACTTTCCAGCCTTCACGAGCCAGCATCTTACCCACTGCAGGACCCAGGCGCGACGTCCCATCATGACTATGTCGCCCAAGTCCAGTGACAATGCGATACCCGGACCGGGCTATTTCACCACCGCGCGTGTATTTGGCGTCCCCGAAAGATTCCCACCAATCTGAGACCCGTTCACTGGCGATACGAACGGCATCTTGCACCGAGACCCCGTGAAGATCTAGCATATTGTGCGTTGACTGCGAATCTACGAGGGCATCTGCGGCTGCGGCTGCGTCCCGCTTTGCCCGCTCTAGATGGTCTCGCCCGACTGCCGAGTAATAAGCAGCGGCACCGCCCATCAGGCGATCGGACTTGCCGCGACGATATGCCGCCGAGGCTTTAGCGAGTGCTTCCGAACTGGCAGCAAAATGAGCCCCTGCGGAACTGCTTACACGATCATAATCTCGAATGACCCGCGGCTCATTCCGTCGCCTAGGCGTCTCCACCTCGAAATCGACTGGTGGTGGTGAAGTAGTAAATTTGATCAATTCAGACACTGATGGAGTTACTGGTCCGGTCACCATTGCAGCTGCCAATTCACTAGCGGCTGAGACGGAACTTCTCGTAATTTTAAGTAGACCTGCGAACGTCGTGGGCGGAATAGAAGGAAGCTCCTGGGTCAGCTCGGCAACTTGTGTCTCTGTAACTGTATCTTGACCAATGGCCCGCTCGTCTTTCGGAGCATGTGCCTCTGCCAGGGATCGAATAGTCGCCGACAAAGACGCCCCATGAGCATGGTAGGTGGATGCGACCATTTCCTTCTTCAGGACAGGGGAAGTCCTGGAGTGAATAAACTCAATATCCTTCTGTGCAGCATCCCATTTATTAACAGTGCAGGGTTCATCCTGCAAGAAGCAGTCTGCCTCAGAGTCCAAGGGGGACGAGCGCTCATAGTTTCGGCCACTCTTAGTTTTGCCTTTGCGTTTGCGGTTCTTCCTTCTTCCGGTTTCCCCATTTGAGCCATCTTGAAACCCATCAATGCCTTTCGGGATAGCAACCTTATCCCCGTCCTCAATTGAAGGTTGCTCGGAGAAGAAGGTGAGGTTAAGCAGGACGTCCATTGAGCGATCGACATCCCCATTAGACTTCCGCAGCGCATGCTGGATGTTGAATTTATCAACAGACGGAAACATTTCCGACAAGTAGCCAATTTTATCCTCCTCAGTTGCACCAGATAGACAAAGCGATCCATCTGCACTAATCGTATAGGACACACGTTGAGATATGCTCTTACCGTTGTGCGAGCCTTTATCGCATACGCTGAAGGAGGAAAACTCCGATGCTAAGCTCGTGATATCTGTTTCACGCGATCGCACAGTGCCGTTTTGCGATACACTGTGTTCCGACGGTATCCCTTCTGAATCAACACCACTTGTACCTAGACCACTTGTACCGGACGGATCAAATGGAAGATCTTCCTGTTCCCATGCAGATAGCTTGAGGGTGTCGAGGGTTTCGCGAAGCTGCTGGAGCTGAGCCGAGTCAGAGAGATCATAGTCACAGACGATAGCTGTGAATAAGGCTGGGTCAAGAGGCGGACAATAATCATTTTCCAATTCCTAAAGAAGCGGAGACAAGTCAAGTAATCAGCTACCAGAGTCCCGACTTGAGTCATATCTCCACGGTGGACGCGAAGGGTGTACAAGAACTGACTCTTAGCTGGTTATCGGCTTGGTCAACCATCTTCAAAGTCACTAACAATATGTCGGAGATGTATTAGGGGTCTTCTAAGCATGCCTCTGAGGCTCAGGGAATTCTGGGGCTTGGGCAAGGAATCGGGGTCCTGCGAATACACAATTGTTGAAGTGGAAATCGGGGAGAAATTGTGTTTGCGATCGAAATCGAGGATGTGGGGGAGAGTGGGAAATAACGCGCCAATCATAGATGACATAATGATCTGGCAAGCAGTATTGGGAGGAAACGTTGGCCAAGACGGTGGACCTGACAACCTGATCGAAGCCATTTAAATAATAATAACCACCAACCTCGTCACGAGGAGAACAGTCCAGTGTATACTTTCCTTGATCTAACCATCAAATTTTGACCATCACACCTCTATGATAATCCTGAAACACAACGCTATCCTCCTTTTCTCCCTATTTTCCACACCCAAATAATGTAAAACTTTCTTGAAAGATGTATCGGATGTCTTGGCCTCAACGGCGCCACTTAGACTTTTCTTTAGTCAGATCGCATTTATTGTCGAGGTCTCTGGTCCCGTATTTGTAGTTAGGTCCAGACCATCTAGCATTATGGGAAGGCCGCTCAACTTCAGTTTATCCATATCTTTACGTTCGTGAGTCTCTTCATTGAATTCAAACATAGAATCAGTGGAAGTTTACACTGTTCAAAATACCGTTCAGATTGAGTCTCAATTTAACAGTCGATTACAGGTAGGTCCATAGATACTCCCCCAGAGCCATGATTGCCATGGCCTGGCCATACGGCATGGCAGTAAGAGGGATATCCTTGTAAAACTGAAGATCGTGGCCCATAGGCGTGCCAAAACTAGTGTTCTGGAGCTCTCCCTTTTCATCTACATCTTTCAGCACAGAGAAGATAGCCTTCTCTCCCATAGCCCGGTACTGCGACCCGATGTACCGCCTTCGTACAGCCTTCAGAATACCATAGGCAAATCCAGCAGTTGCTGATGCCTCAAGGTACGAGTCCGGGTGATCGATAAGCGTATGCCAAGCACCCGATACAGATTGGGACCGCTGCAGTGCTTCGCACTGCGCCTCAAGTGTGTCACAGAGATGGGACTGGATAGGATCACTTGGCTCTAGTTCCAGCAACTCGAGGATCTCTGGGATAACGATGGTGCACCAGCTATTCCCGCGCGCCCACCTTGCATCCGCAAAATTATGTCCCCCATTCTCGAATCGCCAGCCGTGGAAGAAGAGACCCGTTTTTGTGTCGAAGAGATACTTTACGTGGATAAGACACTGTCGCTTCGCTTCGGCAATATATTCAGGTCGATGAAGGAGTTTTCCGATTTTAGCAAGCGGCATCACAGTCATCATAAGAGTATCATCCCAGAGCTCCTGGTCATTCTCCGCGACGTAGGTGATATGCTGCATACCACCATACTTGGTGCGTGGCAACTCGTGCATCGCCCATTCACCCCATGCATCGAGCCAGGGGAGGTAGGTAATATTACCTGTCTTCTCATAAACATAGGCAAGAGTCAGGAAGACAGACATCGTGTTAATATTTTTAGTAGTACCGCCTTCAGCAAAGCGCTCAGCAAACCAGTCCTCGATAATCTTAAGGTACTTGGCCTGGCCTGTTATCTCGTAGAACTTCCATACACCGTACAGCCCGATGCCATGGGTCCATTCCCAGCCGTTCCAGCATTTCGCCTGGATGGTGCGGCCATCTTTCAGGTGCAGGAGAAATTGGCCCGTGTCGTCGCGAATGTTTATGAGGTTGTCAATGAGGAGGTCAATGACATGGTGGATTTCGGAGGCAGGGGGTTTCGATGCCATGGTAAGAGCAGGACGTGCCGCACGCAGCTCGATTCATTCCACGGTGTAAGGCTCACCATAAGTACTCGAGCATTAATTGACCGGCATTCCCCCGTTTCTCTCCCCGCCACACCCATTTCCAACTCCACTATTCTGACCTGCACGCAGCTATGTGTTCGGGTCATTGCAGCCCGAACCAAATTCTGCACAGTAATGATATGTCGGAAAACTCCATGCTAAACAAGACTTGCCGGCTGAATTACCTCGGTGGGCCCAGCTTCGGGTGATTTCCTGTCATGGGGTAAATGAGGGGAGAGTCTCCACCCCAACCTGGGGAAATACCGACAGCCCTAAACAATTGGATCTCGCCTGGCTGACTGGTTAGAATAGTACGCATTCTGGAACAAACACCGTCCGTTCGTTGGCTTGCATCATCAGCCGCTGTTTATGCAATGGCTCATAGACAGTACTAATATTAGTAAGCTTTTCTTCTTTATTGTTTAGCTACTGGGATACTAATATATCTATTAGCACAAGAGCTGCTGTGAGCTATCCTGTGATTGGAGTGTGATGCGGGACCATATTTCTGGTCGAAGGTATGAGAGATAGTGCTCATTCCAACCGATGATGGTTAGGCAGACCTCATCCGCATCTTCAGACACAACCACATGCCACTGACTTCTTTCTATACTACTATCTTTCTGAAACTATCTATAAGCTCTCGAGTAAATACTAGTCCAGAGACTAGACAGATCTAAGCGGCTTTAAAAGAATATGGAACTAATCCTCGAAGAACTCGTTACTCTACATTAGCCAAGATAGCTGAGTAAAATCAATAGGAGAAATCATAGAGCCAGGGTACATCAACGAGACCCGAGAGTGGTACGCAGAATACGCAACAGCTGAAACGCAGGAGAGGCATCCAACCTCGCAACTCAGTCTCTCCCACTTAGGGGTAGCCTCATAAATGAAACGCTGGTGAGACAAAACGTCTTCCTGTTACCCTTTAGACCGAGGAAAGGATAAAGCATGGCAAGGGCAAAGTTTTCACTACTACGACCTCACCGATATTCCTTGATTTCATATTCTACATTAGCAACTGTTGCAAACAGATAAAGTTCACTCAGTCGTGTTGAAAGAGAGACCATGGACAACATATTGTTAACCCACACGAAGACAAAATCGACATCTTAGCATTGAATGAAGTAACTGCGTATGAGGGGGAACGAACGAAGATACACAAGTGTGCGAGAAGCCATCTAAAAAGTGGCGAAACGCCTGCGACAGGTGACAATCATATCAGGCTTCGAGATTAATACACACATGTGCATTGTCACAGGTGATTTGAGGCTAGAAGTGAGACTCCACCTTCTTTTGGCTTTCGTCTATGGCCCAATCACATCGCGAAGACTTGGATCTGACCAGTGAGGCCTGAGCCTCAGTGAAGCCTCTCGCCTCGACGGCTGGATTATACCCCACCCCAGAAAGACGGGCAACATCAGCGCTATCCACAGCCGTGGCCTGCTTCCCGTCGGCTCTCTTGTACACCGTGACCACACCAAATCCTCCCATACCAACGTTGTGGCTCAGGGCAGCATGTGCGCCTTCGACCAGCCTGTTGTTAGCCCAGCCGCGTAACTGCCAAACGAGCTCTGCGCACTGAGCCAATCCAGTTGCTCCCAAGGGGTGTCCTTTGGAAAGCAAACCTCCGGACGGGTTGACTACCGTTTTGCCACCATAGGTGATATCTCCTCGGCGGACATATTCAAATGCCTTTCCTTTCTCTGCGAACCCCAGTGATTCGAGTGCGAGCATTTCAGCGGGTGCGAAGCAGTCGTGCAGCTCGCACACTTTGATTTCGTCGACAGATTTCAGGCCAGCCTGATCTAGGGCAGTTTTCACTGCAGCTTTGGTAATACTGCTCCCAGCGGCCGACTCAAGGCTCCCGGCGAACAGATCAGGGCGGTCGGTTGCTGAGCCTTGACCCGCGATCAGGATGGCTTGAGATTTCAATTCAGGTCTCTGATCGAGAAACGCCTGAGAAACAAGAACCGCGGCGGCAGCTCCGTCGCTGGTGGGGCAACATTGAAGCTTCGTTAAGTGGCCCCCCATTTTAGGGGACTCGAGGATTTGCTCTAAGCTGTATTCATCCTGAAACTGGGCATACGGATTGTGCTTCGAGTGCCGATGATTGATTCGCGCAATTTCCGCAAAGTCCCGAGGCGAGGCTCCGTAACTAACACGGACGGTCAGTCATCATCTCGAACGAAGATTTCGTGGTTATTCCTGTAGTCGTGCACATACTTCTCGATATATTCCTCTCCTGCGTAGCCGAACATGCGAAGTGCAAAAGAGCCTTCTATAGAGCCCTTTGTCTTCTTGACCATTTCGGCTGACCTTCCTAATGGCGAAGCTCGGTCTTTCCAGATTGTGGGTAAGCTTCCAGGCATCATTTTTTCGAATCCAACGACGAGCACACAATCCGCCTGGCCGTATGCGACAGCATTTCGGCCCATTGCCAGACCGGTTGCTCCCGATCCACAGTTATTATTGACATTGTAGATTGGGATCCCCGTCATGCCAAATTGATAGAATACACGCTGTCCGCATGCACTGTCTCCGTACACGTAGCAAGCAATCCCCTGTTCCACATCGTCGTAGTTAATGTGTGCATCGAGCATGGCTTTGATGCCGGCCTCATACCCCATCTCAGGGTAGTCCACCTTCCCTCGGGGCTTCAAGAATTTGGTCATGCCGACGCCGAGGACATAGACCGGTGCGGGAGCTTTTGCGGGCATGGCGATTGGTTTAGATGGACGAGATCGAAAATGTGGATTTCTGCCTCCAGTTAGTTGGCGATCAAGATGGTGCGTTCAATATATCGTGATATGGTACAACATAATTACCTCAGTGCGCGGTCAAATACATACGGTATTGGGTGTTTGGAAAGTATGTAATGTGTAAATGTGCTAAGACGGCAGAGGAATGAAAGGAACAGCTTGATTCTGGGTCCGTCAACACTAGCGACCCTGCATGAAACGCAGTTCATTATAATACTACATGTCGTTCCTCTGTAGAGCGTAGATCAGGTCAGCACGATCGATGTTCATTCATACAAGCCTCGGGCAGCCGAAGTTCAATCCGACATCCCGACATCCGACATCCGGTAACCGCGCATTTCGAGAACTATTGTTGACTCGCTTCAGCCTGGTCGAAAACCTCGGGATTGGGCTTAAGATTGATAATTAAGCCGCGGTGCAATAATATTAGTGTTTGACCTTAATGTTGATGTCGCGGTTCCGATGGGAATCGGCCCATCAACTGCACAGAGTGGAGGATATTCTACCCGGGAAGTGAACAGTAGAAGTCTCCAATTATGCTCTCACTTACTACGGCATACGCCTGCACATGAATGAGATAGGTGAAGGTGCTCTAATCATTTAGGAAGATTTTCACTTGCAAATCCGAATTCAGCTCCTTGAAAGACGCGCTGCCGCGCTTGCGTCGCCTGACGCAAGAAGTATTTGACTTGAGAAGTAAGTACTGGAACAGTAGAATCTATGATAAATGCCAGTTGGCTACAAATACAACAGTGAAGGATAGGCACGACGGATCCAAAACCGCTGCCTTTGCCCGTACATACAAACAAACGCAAAGAGCAAGGAATGGTTGTTCTGGCCTCAGGGCGCAAATAATCGTCTCCTTGTACTCAATCATATACCATATATTTCGAACATCTCCGTAGGTTTTGCAACACTTCTCTGCCATGCCTCTTTAACAACCCTCCAATACCGTTCCTTCTCAAATTTGACGTGATTCACGTGTGGGCTCCCCACAAACTCTTCCATCGTCACAAACCTCGACGCATGGTCGACTCCACACGCGGACATATTCGCCATCGCAATATCTGCATGCTGAATCACTTGGTCTACGGTGACCATGGTATCACCGGGACCGTATATATAAGTTCTCTGGATTGGGCAGGCATGAGTTTCTCCGGCGGAAAACCTCCACATAAGAAAAGCATTGTGTACCGAGTTCAGTGCCGTGTAAAGTTTCGTGGATGAGTGAGTCACAAGACCTGCTTTCTCGAGAAAGACCGATAGCCCTACTATACCGTATGCGATGGCGCTCGTTACCGTGGAGAGAATTATATTCTTGGAGGGAAATCCTAGCGCAAGCGAATTGGCCAGTGGCTTAATCTTGGGCATGCTTGGACAAGAATCGAATACGATGGATGTAATGGGTAACCTGAACGGTGGGTAACTTTGTTCACAAGCTTCCGCAAGCTGGACTGCAGAATGAGAGCCACCGTTGGAAAATAAATGAAGAAAAACTCTTAGGTCGGGGTTTGAGTCAATGCACTCGTGGAGGACGACGACGGCAGGCTGGAACCATTGCCTCTGGGAAGCATCTGGCTTCCAGACGAGGTTCGCGACAGAATTGTAGATGAGGAGAATTTTGGCCCTTGGGTAGAGAGATTGGTGTCCGGCAATGTACTTCGCAATGTGTTTTGCATGGGCAAATGCCCAAGCGCAGATAATGACTACATCCGGGCTTGAATGCGTTGAGTTGGGTTGTTCAGCCAGAGAACCTGGTTGGAATGCCGAACGAAGAAATACTCCTGGGCCCAATTGAGTGAAACCGATCTCGTGGAAAATGATCGAGTCTGGCTGCATCGTGACTGATAGTGCGAGGATGGGTGTCTGATCGACTAACGAAGGCGGGTGCATTGATGGTGAATAGAGGCAAGGGAATGCTAAGAAGGTGGCTGAAGGACAGGTTCTTATAAAGCTATAGTTCGACGGTAGCATAGGGTTCCATTTGTGAGACTGCATAAGGGAGATGTGCACATTAATGAAGGACCTACTAGTAGTAATAGCCTTTTCAGACTCACTAGTGACTGGCCGGTTTCCCCCAAGACCCACTGTTAGTGTTGCCCCCGCACTCACTCTAAGAGACGGACCCCGACTGAGGCGAAGCCAATGAGTTCCCTCGTACGACTACTATGTAGTACTAGTGGTAGTTGTAGCGATTTAAAGCTTAGCGGCACCTGGACAGTCAGTCCCAGGATCCTTTCCTTGCCTCCATCTTCATGTCCTCCCTTCGTCCATGCTACTACTCTACTAACTACGCATGCTCCAGAATCATTCCATCAATCTCTCAATGGATCAATCCTCAACAATAAACCAGAAGCCAATTCAGATGCGACGGCGGCCACGTGTCAAGCGGGCTGCGCAGGGTAATTTGATCCCCAAGACTATTGCTTGTCTATCGTCCTTGAATGTCGATTCGGAGAGCTGATTTTCTTTCTTGTGATGAGTGAAGCTTGCAAAAATTGCCGAGAACGAAAGGTTCGCTGCGATGCCATGCAACAGTCACCGGGCAGATGCACAAACTGCGATATGGATGACTTGAAATGTGAAATGCACGAATATATGTATGACACCACCGTCTTTCATTCTTCTTCTTTTTGCCATGAGAGTCAGACTGAAACTGAGCCTGACAGCAGACGTCGAAAGGGGCGTTCGACGCACCGGGCAAGCGACCCCCCTCTAACCTCTCGTCCCTCCATCAACGAGGCGGCTACCGATCATTCTGATGACACACATTACATGAATTATTTTGAAAGCCTGTTGTTTCAAGGGTTGGACACCGAGACGATGTTCCTCTGTGAGCCTGCATCGTCTGTGTCTGCGGATCTGGATGTTTGCAGAAAGGAAACGGCAGCAAAGGGTTCTCTAGTCAACGACTCGCATGCCTATCAACCCTCTGATATCTTAAGCACAGTCTCTGGTGCCGATTCAAGTTCTCTGCTCTCACTGGACAATAAAACTGATGTGGTCGATAAGCCTGAACCGTCTTTGCAGCCAGGTTCAGACAAAAGTTTGGTCGATATCCACAATCAACAGCCCGGGCGCGGTCACCACCAGAAGTCGGAAGATGCCCTTCGAAAGGGCGCGGGTAGTGATAGTGACATTTCTACATTCCCTGCCACTTTCACCTTGCAAATACAAATACAGTCTGATAATGTGAAAATATGTTCTTGCGTGCCCCCTTGCCTCCCGTCGCGCCCATATCTCGCACCCTGGTGCGCTGAAGGGTTGGACGTTCACCTCAAAGCTCGTGTATCTCATCTGCAGGCTTTAGATCTGCTTGGGGACGAAACAACTAACCTCCTTCTCGAGCGATACTTCTCTTACGTCCACCCACACTTTCCAGTGATCAGCGAGCGCGATATCTATCTATTGTTCCACCCTACTGAAGCCACAAACAGCCAGCAACTACTTCCCATGAGTCTCGCAAAGTTTAATGCGATAATGTCGGCGGCGTGCTCGGTATGATTTGATGCGTATTATATTCATTTCCAGCACTGTCTAACTTCTTCAAGTTCATAACAGCGGAGCAAGCTAATGATGCGGGCTTCGCAAATATAAGTTCCATGCGCCGTGCTCTACATTCCCGGTCCCAGGTGAGCCATATTTCACTAGATTCTTGTTAGCGGTATCGTGCCGTTGCACTTTGGAATTCTCTAACGGGAATGATTCCCCCAGGCGCTCCTCGATGCGGGCAGCGAGTCCAATATACTCGATCGGATAGCAATTAACCTGTTGCTCAGCTTGCGGAGAGAGTATCCAGAAGGGATGTTTGACACAGAAAGCTTTCTTGTTAATGCATACGAAGAATTGCAAGTTGCTCGACATTGTCCAACCTTCTTCCATCATCTGGATAAAGATCAGGCATATTGCAGAATGAGAATTTTGCAGGGTTGCTACCAGTGGAGAGCGTACTCCTGCATAGTGGGAACCTACCGAAGTCGAGTGCCCTTGCCACCTTCCGTCAATTTAGGTTGCATCCAACTATCCGATTTGGATAATGATCTCAGCTTCTCATGGTTCCTTTCCAAGGACACCAAACGTACCCTAGCTCGAATATTTATAGCATCCATTGACCTTTTTGTGCTGGCATATCCAATCTGCAAGATCCTTATGAGAAGGGATACATTTTCGCTTCCCAGCGCAAACAGAAGCTCTGTAATGAGCGACTTGGAGGAGTTCGAATTCTCACTTTCCAAGTGGCACAATCAGAACCTGGAATTAATGAGTCCTGATTCTGCCGGAAAGTCTTCGGCAGGTCGATCATATATCCCTACCATTGTCCACAGGACATTTCTGCGCCTTGAATATGAGTCGGTCACCCTCAAGCCTTTCAGCTGTCTTCCAAAACTCATTTGAAATTTTAGGTATTTGACATCCAGTTTACATCAGATTTGCCTCTGTTTGGAAACACTAAGCACAACAACCTGGGCTAGGAGGCTGCGAGAAGCGTCCCGACAGTCTTTGCAACATTCATCCTCCTCCATCGTTCGGATGCTAGAGGACCTACTTGACCTTGGAGCTATCGGCTATCTGCCACTATCAGCGTGAGTTCTTTCAGAGGGGTTTTCCTGCGCAACATTAACTTTGCAACTGACCAAAAATTTCCATCCAATCAGTGTCATATGCCTATTGATCCCAGTTACCATTAACACTGTCTTTATGAAAACCACTACCTTTAGAGACATTCGATCGATGCACGATCTCTATGTATGTCACCGAGCTTTAACCGTTCTGGGGGAGCATTACTCGGCAGCCCACATCATCAATGCACTCGTGGATTCCTCGCTCGTGGCATTGCAGAGAAAATACCCCGAACAAGAAAACGGCTTGGTCATGCCACATTTAACTCCGATTTCCCTCTGGAACCCACTCGAATCCATCGAGTCGATTCGTGACATTGAAGCCCCGCTACCGCCCACTAATATTTACGCTATGGTGGTGAAGTTTCATGAGAAGTCTTTTCAGCAAGGTTGTTTTACTAGCTGTTGAAATTGTTAATGGTTGATGATGAAAAGATACTGCGCTGTCGAATACATCCCTCAGCACGAATTCTCCGCCCGAAGATGTTCTTAATGGCGTATTGTATATCCGTGGTGAACTGCACATCATGATGCAGCTATTTTCGAAATGGCAGATCGCTCCCAATCGGTCTCATACACAGCAAGGTTCCGCTAGCGACGAATTTAGATCTGGCTGGACTTTTTGCGTGCTGAAGCGAAATAATATGTGTTATTCCCGTTGACAGTTCTCATGGCTCCTGGTTGGTAAAAAGCATAGTTATACTGGTTATGGATGTAAGCCCAGGAAACTCGTTGCCAAGCTGGCAAAGGGAGCAAACAACGGGGTACATGGTGGATATATTTGCCTTTCAGCGGTGATCCCTTGTTGGATGCTAACTCTCAGCGTATATAGCCGGTGTCAGTTGGTTATAAATCACGACTGCAGTTTGTAATGATTCATGTGACGCCACTCTCTAAGATGAAAAGTGTTCGAAAGCAATAGTCTCTGAGCACACCGGTAGATATCTCCACTGGCCTCGTTGGTTTCAGTGTAGGTGCTGACTATGATCATTCTTCACGGTTTAATCGTCAATCTCCCACCGTATCAATCCCGAGGTTTTCAACCAGACTACAGCGACTGGAGGAGCCAATAACAGCCTCGGAACCCACGGTTAGCGGATGTCGGATGTCGGTTGTGGAATGACCGAGCAGCCCTATCTACGATGTCAAACAAACGATTGTATATAGGGCCATCAGGAAACACCAGGGCATGATGAGACGCAATCAAAGAATATTTTGCGGCACTTTACTCTCTGGGGACAACTTAGTTCTCAGCACAGCTAACGTGTGTACCTACCGGTCGTTGTTTTTCACTGTTCATCGAAACTGAATTAGCATTCTCCAGGACATCTTTCGCCGAATCGAATCGTATCAACCTCCTATCCTGTTGCCCTCTTGGCAAAATGAATGCAGGACCAATGAAAAGACCACACACCACACTTCCCCCTTCGTGGGTCACCAAGCTGCAACCCTCGAAACCACACGGGCCAGACCTCTTATCCTCCGAAAGACAGAACTCGGTTATTGATCCAAATATTTTGGCGAATTTGCTTCATACAAAGGAAGCCGTGGAAATCCAACGTCGCGTGTTGGAGGTGCTCCAAAACGATGAAGTGTTCGACAAAACTGGAAATTACTTCGGTTCGAGGTTGGAGCAATTCAAGACCTCCCTGTCCCGAGGCAAAAGACTGCATCAACTCCAACAAGCTTATCACTGGAATGAGCAAGAGTTCGCATGTGCCCTCGAGCTCATTGGAGATTCGACGGCATACGCGATCCATTGGAAAGGGTTCTTGGTAAGTCTGACAGACCATACAATATGGCGGTTAAAATTATGACTTTGTATCACGGCCTCCTAACAGAAAGCAGTCCGGCATTCGCGAGCAAGGGACTCCCGAGCAGCAGGAGTTATTCTTGCGACGCGCTGAGAAGATGGAGATCATCGGCTGCTTTTGTCAAACTGAACTGGGCCATGGCTCCAATGTGCGGAAGCTCGAGACGACTGCCACCTGGGATCCCTCCGATCAAACATTCATCCTTCATTCACCGCATTTGACAGCTTCCAAGTGGTGGGCGGGGACTTTGGGTCGAACAGCAAACTATGCAATAATCATGGCACAGTTGATTATTGCAGGCAAGGAGTACGGGCCGCATCCGTTCGTCTGCCAGATTAGAGATCTAGTCACTCATGAGCCCCTGGGTGGGATCTACGTTGGGGATATCGGTCCGAAGTTTGGTTATAAGTTGGTGCCCGTGGAAGCCTCGCGACATGTGATTTGTGACTGATGGGTTTCTTAGCATGGTGGACAATGGTTTCTTGCTGCTCAACCAAGTCAAGATCCCCCATGTGAATATGCTTGCGAGGTAAGTATCTAAGCACCAACGTTGGCAATTCAGGATGTTCATCTGCGCTCCAGGTTTTCCCGAGTCGATCCCAAGACGAATACGTACATTCCGCCCGAGTCGCCTGCCCGTATTTATGTTACACTGACAAAGATTCGATGTGCGCTTGTACTGGAATCCGCGCGTAATATGGCGCGTGGCCTTACCATTGCCATACGCTACAGCGCCGTCAGATGTCAATTCCAAGACCCTGCCGGCAATCCTGCGCAAATCGGAGAGACGCAGGTCCTGGATTACACGATGGTACAATATCGACTTTTGCCTTTACTTGCCGAGTCACTGGCGTTGAACTTTACGGGACAAGCCACCATCGCCTTTCACGGTGAGACTAAAGACACAGGAAAAGTCGGCCAGCCTGGCAACAGCGCAGACAGCCGCAAAGAAGTGCTCGCGGAGCTCCATGCGACATCTTGCGGCCTGAAAGCTTACGCCACCAGTGCGGCTGCTCAAGGCTTAGAATTATGTCGGCGGGCTTGTGGCGGTCATGGATATTCAAGTTTCTCGGGTATCGGGAATGTGTTTAAGGACTACGTTGCTTCTCAAACTTACGAGGGCGATAATTTTGTTCTGGGTCAACAAACCGCGAATTATGTAAGGTCCGCCAGCGAACCCAGACCAAGAACTTCCAACTAACTTCTCCTCGCGTATAGCTGCTGAAGCAGGCACAAATGGTCGCTCAAGGAACCCCATCGGAAAGCATCGCAGGAAAAAACCTTTCTCGATACGCCGCAGTGAAGAACGAGCCAATCCGGTTCAGCTTGGATAGTGATGGAGACTTAGTTGCAGTTTTCGGTTGGAGAGCGGCGTATCTCACGTTCAAGACGCTCCAGCAAAGCCTTATTCCAGGCAAAACCCGGAACCAGCTCCAGGTTGCCATGTGGAAGCTGTGTACAGCTCATTGCCAATTCCTGGTGATCCGAGGATTCTACGAGCGGCTGGCAGTCCTCGCGTCAACGCCAACGCCCGAACCTCAGCTAGGTCCGGAAGCCCGTGAAGTCTTATGGAAGCTTTTCCGTCTGTACGCGGTCTTCCTGATTCAGTCCGAGCCCTACGACTTTTTTGCCTCGAAAGCGCTCCAAGTTGAACAGTTGGAACACGCAAACACCGTCATGTTTATGCAGCTGCTGGCTGATATAAGGCCCCATGCAGTGAAGCTGGTGGACGCCTGGAACCTGCCGGATTGGCTTCTAGATAGCTCCCTCGGCCGCTATGATGGCCGAGTATATGAGGACCTTTTCCAACGTGCGACCCAGTCGAATCCGTTGAATCGCATTTCCGTTGATCCGCGCCCATACAGTTCTACCATTATCAAGGACGAAAGCGTGAGTGGGGCTCGCAGCAACCTCTAGAAGGGGCAACGCAAATACACCAACCCCACAAAGCTCTCAGGCTCACCACGCTGATACGAGAAATGTAGTGCCCATATACAATCAACTCGAATCGGGCGCCAGGGATAAAAGGACGAGCGAGATCAGCTCAATGGCACTATCAGAACGCAGCAGCACAGGTAGATCCCCGGAGACAGGGGATACTTTCGTTCCGCGGGGATTAGTCATGTTATGCCCATAAAGGCTGTAAGATAGGGCCATAGTTAGCAATTTAGACCCGTTATGATGTCTCTTGGTGTGTTGGTATGATCGATCCGCTTCGCAGTATTCCGAGATGTACAATCACCCACCTTTGGGTTGAAGTACGTTTCACGATCCTACGAAACCCCAAGGATGAGACATAAGCCGCTAAGGAATTTTGCATCCTTAGTAATCTGGTTCGACTCGGTATAGGGTGTAGAATTTAATCCTGCACCACGCATTCCTGGTCGGCCAAAGATACATCAATATCTTGAAACGCCGCAAGACCAGGAAGAAGAGATGTTTCCCGTGTCAACGGTTTGGACCCATGTGCTCCAGCGGATGGGCCCATGGAAAGAGATCGGAACGCGGCCAGCACTGGACGCGGTTCTTGAAAGATTCACAGAAGCGACCACAGCCACAGTAGACATTCATACAGGCGTCCGCCACCCCGAGAACTGCTGTGGCAACCTACCACCGAGCTAGAGATCCCACGATGTCGACGACTTCTTAAGGTATATACATCGTCTGTCTTTCCTGTACAATAGGTTTAGCTACTATAATAACTCACAGCACAATCCTCAGATTAGGCTTTCTGGTTATTAGCCTATGTTTTACCGCCATGACACTCAACCAATACAGCGTATATCTTTTGAATAGAGATCTATTCCTAAACAACTTATCACATAGCCTTCCAATCGCCAAAAGGATAGGGATAATTCTCCAAGCCGCTTGTACTGCAATAAAATACTTCATTCGTCCTTGAAATGGAATATGGCACATGTCCTGGAATATGAAATAGAAGGCGAAGAATCCACGCAAAAGGAAACGGGGACAAGAAGTGAAGAGCAAAAGAAATGCAGTGGATTGAGCGATCTGTGAGGAAGAAATCTCAATCTTCCTGGGGACAAGAAACAAGATCTACAAGGGCCCAGAGAGGGCCCCTATAAGAGACTCTCAACAAAGGAAGCAAACGAAAATAGTACTAGAAACATCCAGTGGCCACAAACCTCCTATCTCATCAGCAATGCTTCATAGTCTTGCCGAAACTGGCCTATCCTTCACGGAACGTTCACGGAGAACCCTCCGCAGAATCTTTCCTGTCTGCATGGAGTAAGCTCATCGGGCCACTCGATAAGAAGGCAGGTAGGACTTACCGGATTCTTTGGGATTGCGTCAATGAAGACCACACCCCCTGTGATTCTCTTGACTTTTGATACCCTTTCCTCCACAAACCGCAGGATCTCGTTTGGAGATACTCTAGCGCCCGGTTTCTTGACAACGTACGCGAGTGGACGCTCATCTTGGTTGCTAATATGGTCTTCTGTTAGTGAGCCCTAACTTCCAGAGGTGGCCAGATTCACTTGCTGCTTTACACCAATGACGGCCGCGTCTTGTATATCCGGGTGTTCCAGTAGAACTGATTCTAATTCTGCAGGAGCAACTTGGTTTCCCTTGACTTTGATGAGTTCCTAGACAGAACGTCAGTAGGAAATCCACCGATGGTACATCAACTCTCCATACCTTCTTCCGGTCAACAATCATGTATTTTCCGTCCTCGTCTCGGAAGGCAATGTCACCAGTCTTCAACCATTTATCATGCGTAAACGTGTTTTTCGTCGCTTCCGGATTCCTCCAGTATCCCTTCATTAAAGAAGGCGATTTGACCCAGATTTCGCCTCTCTGCCCTGGAGCTACTTCCGCATTGCCGTCTTCATCCATCAACTTGATAGAACAGTTCGGGAGCGGTTCCCCAACGGCTGCTGTCTTGGACACCTCTCCTTGATCCCATCCACAGACCATCATAGCCCTGACGAGTCCCCGTTAGCGGATGACTGTAGAGAATCAAGGACCGACACTACCCGAGACGCTCTTACACAGCTCGGGAAATGCGGTTAGGAGGGGCTTAGTGCAACTTACTCAGTCATGCCGTAAGTCTGCTTGATGTTAACATTACCTGCGGGCCATAGTCTCTCAACCTCCTCGCAGATATCTCTGGAGAGAGGAGCTGCGCCGGCTTCCACTCTCTTTACACTGGACAGGTCGAACTTCCTCGACTGGATCAAAGGGTGCTTCGCCATTGCAACCGCAATAGACGGGACCAGGAGAAGCGAAAATGGACGGTACTTCTCGATATTCGCCATGAATTTCAACAGATCGTATCGTTTCATGACATAAACTGGCTGCCGGCGGGCGGGCACGGCGATGGAGAACAACACCATGCCAAGAGCATGGTACATCGGAAGATAACACAAGACAGGGTAGTCTTTTGCCTGCTCTTCGTTGAATGGATACTTGGGGTCCGCCGCGTGTAGAGCCTTTTTGGAAGCCAGGTCTGATATCACTGTTGCATGGGACATTTCGACCCCTTTAGGCAAGCCTGTGGTCCCGGAAGAGTATACAAGAATGATAGTCTCATTCAATTCTTCTGGGGTAGAACGTTCTTTCCAGGAAAAGGCATGGCCCGTTTCACGGTCCGCAATCAACTGGCTCCAGTGTTTGATGTCGCCAGCTGGCTTGCCGTCGCCATGGAGATGTTCATCGTCGAAAACGAACAAGTTCGACAAAGGCAGCTGCACTGCTTGTGCGGCTTCCCTCGCTGTTTGGATGCTCGTCGGGGTCGCCAGGACGTAGCGTGCTCCAGTGTCTTTCAACTGGTAGATGAGCTCCCGGGCAGTAAAAGTAGGGTTGGCCCCTGTCACGATCCCCCCGGCCATAATGACGCCCATGACTGCCACAGGCCAAAATATATTGTTCCCCGAGAATACAATCACTCTGTCTTGCGGCTTGAGGCCGGCCTGTTGAAGCCCGGCGGCAAATCGTTTCGCCCATAGGAAGTACTCCGCAAAGGTCAGGAATAACGAGTCCGGTTTTTCAGTATCAACGAAAGCCAGCTCGCCCGACAGAGTTGCATTAGGCCCACCAAACACGAAAGAAGGCAAGGAGATGCGAGGGATGTCCACCGACCATCTCGACTGGTGTGGCATCTTGGGAGGTTGTTCGAGTTGAATTCAAAGACAACAAATTCGAAGAAGGCTTGGTTACTTGCTGTCAAGTAAGGACAGAAACAGCATACATGCGAAAATTCGCGATTTCAATCTGAATAGATATGAATGTAAATATTCTACGTATTGGTTCTCGTACTTCCGAGCGAGTGCTCGGCATGAGCCATCTGCACATACCAGTGTTTTGGAAGCCGATGCCTCGGAGCTTCGGAATGTTCTTATATTGGTAAATGACTTGTCCATTATTTTACACCAAAGGCTGGGACATAAATGGTCCTGATCTGGGTGTATTGTGAGTATTGCTTCCTCGGCAAGGCATCCAGCTGCTCGCCTGCTGCTCACTGAGCCAGCTTCCGACGGGCCGGCGGAACATCGATATTCGAAGTATGGACGAGAGCCGCGAATCGAGGGGAACAGAGCTTGTCAGCAAGGGATCCAAAACAGGGTTCAATGATTTTCTTATATCTTACAAATGCGAGCCGTGAAATACAGAAAACGTGAGTAGACTAAAGACACGGTCTATCGGATCTGGAGTCTCTCACTACGCCGCATTCGTCGCTCTTCCACGCACAAACACATCCACCATGGCACTTCAGCAATTCATCAACCAGACTGTCATCATTACCAGTTGTGGGCATGGTCTGGGGAGGGACTATGCTGCCTTTTTTGCATCGGCAGGGGCTAACGTGGTTGTCCACGACACCGACGAGGTACGGAGCTACATGTCATTCCTCACCGAGGAGTGTCCTGTTCTAGGTCTAACATAATAACAGATACTGGCAACAACTATCGCGAGGGATATAAGGGCGACCGGAGGTGTTGCAATTGCGAATTCCTCATCGCTCCAGAACGGGGACCAAACTGTCGCCGCCGCGCTCGCTGAATTTGGACGAGTCGACATCCTGATCTACAATTCGCTCCCGGAGCATGACCGGAGGTTTGAGGGCTTTCACCCTCAGGCCGGGAGTTCGGACTTTGGAAAGGCATTCAAGGGATTGTACAAGGTAAGAATTCCCCAGTCTGCCCGACACGCAGAGGAATTGCTGACGGTTGTCATCGCTACATCCTAGACCGTCCATGCCGCCTGGCCTATATTCAGAAAGCAGAAGTTTGGCCGCTTCATTAGTACCGCTGGGCTTTACGAGCTGTCTACTCCCGAAGAACATTTATCATATTCCAGTAAGCTGCACATACTTCCTGCCGAAAATGCATTGCGAGGAACTCTCGTTCGGGAAATTCGACGCTAACAGCTGTATTACGACAGTCGCTAGTTACGCACATCTTGGTTTTGTGGAGACTGTTGCCAAAGAAGGTGTGAGCGCAAACATTCTGGCAGCAGCCATTGTGACCGGGACCCCTTTTGGTGGCCCAAGTGGATATGAGAAACCCGACTGTGACACCGCTGTAGGCTTGGTGGCATCACTGTCCCATAAGCAAAACACAAGAGCAACTGGGTCTATGTACCATCTGCGAGGCAAAATTTGCCACGCATTGCGATGGGAGCGGGCCGGGGGTGCTGGGCTTAGACTTGATCAGAGATTCACCCCCGGGGCGATTCTTGAGAAATGGGACGAGGTAAACAATTTCGCAGACGCGGAGTACCCAAGAGGTACATCAGATGTTCTATCCATCTTAAGAAGAGCGGCCGATCTCCCAGAAGACTATAACAAGGAAGGGAAGAAAGTATCCTTGCAGGGAAAAGTCGCCATTGTTACCGGCGCTGCAAATGGGTGAGTGATTCGAAGTCATTTGATATAAAACCATGGCTAAAGTGATCTCTCCTTATTAGTCTAGGACGGGAGTACTCACTGCTGCTCGCTAAATTGGGAGCGAAGGTTGTAGTCAACGATATCCAGGATCCTACCTCTGTCGTTTCTGAAATCCATGAAATTGGCCAGCATGCCATTGGGGTCACAGCACCCGCACAGAATGGCAAAGAAATTGTCAGACAGGCTGTCGAAGCTTATGGGCGTGTTGATATTATTATCAACAATGCTGGGACGGTAAGGGACAAGTCCATCGGCAAGATGACGGAGAAAGAGTGGGACTTTGTGTTCAGTGTCAACCTTGATAGCACTTACGAAGTCATCAAGGCAGCTTGGCCACATATGGTGAAGCAAAGGTATGGACGAATCGTCAACATTACTAGCACTAGTGGGATATATGGTAATTTTGGACAAGCAAACTACGCAGCCGCTGTAGGTTTCTCACGCCCGAAATACATCGCGAATTCTGTTGGCCCTGATATGCTAACGCCCAATAATTTGATTTCACCAGAAATGCGGCCTCATAGGATTGTCAGAATTTCTTGCCGGTGATGGTGCAAAGCACAACATCATCATGAATGTGATTGCTCCCACCGCAAGCACTCCAAATCTTCTTTCCATCATGCCAGGCTTTCCGAAGGACCTTAAACCTGCTTACTGCGCGCCTATGGTTGCCTTGCTGTGCTCTGACCATGTCCCGTTCCCATCAACGGGCGGCGTGTATGAAGTCAACGGTGGCTGGCAAGGGCGAACAAGGCTTCAAAGGAGTGCTGGATCCCCAGTATCCTTTCGGCCAGACCAATCATTGCCAGCAGGGTTGGACATGATTGGAAACTTTGAAAAACGTGGCAGTTCATACCTTGAAGACGGACCTGCAGGGCATCGACATCTCATGGACATCCTGAAGACAGCGCGCGCCGTGGAAAAGATAGCGGCCGGGCAGGCTGCTCGTGGCCGGGGCAGTGTTTATGAATACAACCACAAGGATATTATTCTTTACAGTGAGTTCACGCATGCCTCACCTGACTAGCTCTGGGAGATATCTGACGCGTATTCTCAAGACCTCGGCGTTGCGGCCAAACGCAATGATTTGGCTCTTGTTCTCGAGACGGATCTGAACTTTCAGCCGGTACCCACTTTTGGGACCATTCCATCCTTCTTCTCTCGCTTGCCCGTCGAGTTCAAAGAGATTCTGCCCAAATGGAACCCACTGGGCTACGTGCATGGAGAGCAATACCTCGAGATTCGCAAATATCCAATTCCCACTGCGGGCAAGCTTGTTACGCATAGCCGACTCCTTGAGGTGGTCGACAAGAAGAAAGCAGCCATTGTTACCTTGGCTCACATCACACGCGATGAGGCTACAGGGGAAGATGTGTTTTACAACGAGGTCTCTCTTTTCGTGAAAAATGCTGGTGGGTTTGGCGGCCAAACCAGCCCCGTCTCAGCAACTCAAAGACATACAATCTCCCACAACGGGCGCCGGATTTGATATGTGAAGAGAAAACTTCCGAGGAACAGGCGGCACTATACCGGCTGAGTGGTGATTATAATCTGGGGCATATAGATCCCGCTGTTGGTAGGGCTGTTGGGTTTCCTGCCCCGATTCTACACGGTCTCTGCTTCTTTGGTATTTCGGGGAAACATATCCTCCAACAATATGGCCGATACAAGAGTATCAAGGGCCGCTTTGTTGAGAGTGTCTTTCCCGGACAGACCCTCCGGACCGAACTGTGGAAGGAGAGTAAAACAGTCACTTTTCAGACAAGAGTAGTTGAAACGGGCAAAGTGTGCATCGCGGGTGGAGGGGTGGAGCTATTGACTGATAGTCAGAACAAGCTGTAGCTACATAATTCTAGGAACTGTATATATTTATATACCAGTCTAAATACTGCAGCTGTACCGATAAACAAGGATATATTCGATTATAAAATATAGAATTCTTTTTTTTTTTAAAAAAAAAAAATAAAAAAAATGTGGCATAGGATCCTGACACTTTGACGAAGCTGGGGGAGAATATGTTCCTAGAATCTAGATGATACCCATACCGGGAGGTTATTTCTATCTGTCGAGTCCCGGGTTGGACCGGTCACTCCATAGACTTGTAGTCAGTCCTCCATGGTCCACCACATATTTGAATATCAGTTCGGTATGAAGGAATCGTTCAACGAGGGTGCTAAAGAGGAAACAGTGTCCATGATCCTACTAAAGTATCCTAGGAGGTGCAAAGTATCCATTCATAATAACCAAGTTCCAAATTCAATAACTAGACAGAGAGGCCTTCCTGGATCCCACCATTGTCTTCCATAAGCTTTCAGACCCTCGACGCAAGACACGACAACAACACAAAAAGTCCGCCGCCAGGCAGGCCAAATAGAGCCGTAAGCATGGATCTCATCCGTCTACTTCGATCCCTTCCGAAGACGCTCGTTGCCCCCAGCATCTGGAGTCCCAGAAGTAGATCTGTCCTTGCCATCAGGCATATCACCGGAGCTTGAATCGTCATTGTCTCCAATATCAGGGAAGTTGTCGAAGATTGGTGGCCACTCGGTGGGCCATGGGAATGGAAATTCCCCAGAATCATCGTCGTCACCTGGTGGCGTAGTGGGAGTCGGCCGGGGTGTGGGCGTCGGCGTCGGCGTCACAGTGGTAATGGATGGCTCTTGCCAGTTCTTCCACATACGCCTTTCGTTCTGTGGCTTATGAGGGACTGCGAGGACTGCGGTGCATAGACCGAGAAAGAGAGCGATGCTTTGGACTCTCATTGTTCGGGATTTAGGGCTATGAGAACTGAGGGTTCCTAGGATACAGGTTTAAGAAATACAGAAGATGGTATAAACCCTGAGGAGAGACTTGAATGCCACGGTATGAACATTGCGAAGAATATCAGACAGGAGCAATCGCTCTGTTTATATATATGGAGAAGGCCCAATCCAGGGTCCTGCGTCACAGTGGGAAACAGGCATACGTAACCTCACTATTACCAAGAAAATGCCTTCCGGGATAGTCCGTCAATGATAAACTCTTTTCTGTGAAATGGATGGTATGTTTGCTGCCTATTTTCTGCATCGTTTCTGGCTTCGTCTCTCACAGCAATCCAAAGGCTAAAGTCTGGACGAGCGTCGACTCCAATGGACATGACGATCGAGCAAATAGAATCCAAAGGCTATCTCCGTAAGGTAATTTAGTTGAATATCAAATAAATAAGACTGGGTGGGATGCTTGATTATTGTGCAGCGAAATATGCTGATCCTCTCACAGCCGTAAGTCACTTGTGCTGGTATACGTGTGCCACAAGCTGGGGCTGGGGATACTCGTGGAGTTTGTCCAGGTCGGCAATCACATATTAGCTGGGGCTTTTCAGCTGAAAATAGCATTCAAAGGAACTTATATCGTTACACATTTCAAACCCGACGAAGACAACCTTTCACCATGAAAGCTAACGGCGCTACTTTCGCTCCGATGTGTAGCAATTCGCCAACCCTTGAACAATAGGGAGTTAAAAACGAAGAAGCTTTGAGATGTGTTTTCCCTTTACCTTAGCCTTTTATCGAGCATCTCAGAAGATATAGGTTGCGAGAAGTAAATGCTGTGGTTTTGTTATTTAGTACATACTTCCAACAGCCCCGGCATCTAAATTCAATGGATCCTCCGGCTGGCGTACTCCTGTGTAACCAGATTGCTAATCGCCGGGAAAACGGTCGTCATCATGTGGATAGATATTTGTCCGAAATTCGAAGTGACGTTGCGTGAAACGAATAGCATAAGGGAACATGTCAAAAAGTCATACAATGCTTGTTCTGGCATCCTTGCCTCGAGATGTTGAGACAAGAGGGCGAACTTTGATATCTGTGGGCGAATGATGGCCATCTGCGTCAGTCTCAGCTTCAATTGTTGTCGGCTGCTTCGCTTTCCTGTCTTGTTTCTTCTTTTCTCTGGCGAATGGTGAATTCCGTCAAGGCAACCAGATACTGCGCCTGGGAACTACACCGGATTTCCATAATTTTAGGGTCTAGGGATTTACCTGGAGTTTAATCACTTACTGTAAATTATCTTGCGTAGGATCTCTATTGTATCAGCGCTTCTGGCTCCCAAGCCAGCCAAAAAGATGATGGATGTTTTCATTGTCCATGTGGTCCATTGCATTCCATTACCAATATACTTCATATAAAGCCGTCGCCCTCAGCCCTAGCTGATAGCTACGGACACAGCTTACTGACACCCAAAAGGTCACGGCCATCGGGTGCGTAGCTGCGTGGCTCGAGGAAGAATCGAAAGACAAAGTCAGCAAAAATGAGTGTGCGGCAGACAGCTAGAGCTCTTGAGTTAGCATATTGCGCGTCCCTGAACAGTGTGCAAGAACCATTTACGTATACTGACGTCGTCGTGTATGAATGTAGGCGTAAGCACGGTAAAGATTATATCTATACCAGAAAGCCTGGTGACTTGATAAGCATGTAGTGCTATTATTAGACCCTAGCTGATAAGCAAGTCATCCAAATCGCGACAAGATACACCGCAAGAAGCACCAAATGCAGCAGAACCTGGTAAGAATGATGCCAAGAGGATCTGCAACCTCGCTTTTCTTCAACTAAGAATAGCATCATGTTTTACCCGTCCGGAATGTGTCTGGAAGAGCGTGCAGAGATAAAAGTTGCGGTGACTTGGGTGGCGTGCTCTAAGTCAATATGGATTTCAACCAAGGACAGCCCTAAGGTTAAAAGTCGATAGCCAAAAGCTAAGTTGGGATATCACATCTGACATATCGTATTGGCATTGGCTGCAGATGATGTGTATCTTGTGCGTTCGGTACCCGCCCCAAAGTCAATGAGTCTAGTTATCAAGACTCAGAATGAACCGTTCATGGCATGTTGGAAAGTGGACTTGCCATTGTAGGCAATAGAAAATTTTAATGCGCCAAGTGTACATCGCCGAACAGCCCAGTCGGCGGTGAGGGTACAGGGCTGGGTTGTACATGGCAGGTTTTGTTTTTTTTTTTTCATTTATTTTTGATTAGGCAACGACCCAACAATAATAGCCATTGTCATGGTGTTCTTTGAATTGCAAGCGTGGTTAGAAATTTCTGGCTGCAGAGATTACTAGTAGTGACCATATACGGAGGAGTAATGGAAACTTCTCGTGTATAACAGGCCTCATTGATAGTAAACTCTTTTAGCACTTGCAGCAATGCGGGATCTGCAATCTTTTCGCATTATCAAAAGTAGATAGATAGTTAACCTCCTTGATCCAGCGACACGGCTTACGAGGATCGTCAAAGTCTCCTTCGGCGTGTTATTTGACTGGTTTCAACCTCCGGCCGGCGATCGCAAGGAGAAGACAGGGTTATTCTATAACCTGTAACCTCGATATAATATCAACAGGGCACAAATCCATGGCTGTTATTAGCTATTCAATCCTCTTCCTTGGAAAGGGCCGTATCCCTACGAGCGCGGAACCCGAGCAGTGACACCGGGGGCCTGAGCTTGTCTCGTAGAGGAACATAGAAAGAAAAAAAGAGAGTAGCAATTTAGGCCGCAGGCACTATTGAAAACAGGCCAATGGTATGTGTCAAGAGCTTCATAAGTCTTGAAGTTCGCCCTAGATAGGAAGAAGTGAGAAGGCTGGGAAAGACAGATCACCTGTGCCCCTCGCGTCAAGTCCAACGCATGCTGGACCCTAGTCTGTGCTTGCGACGTGCTGCACTCATCGTGCCCCAACATAGTGAAGCTTTCCTCCTATCGGTAAGCCCCAAAGGAGACTACAGGAGAGAAGGAGGAAAATGAGGGATCAAATCCCAAAGTCAGATTTGGTCATTGATCTTCTCACAGGCTTCTTTTGCGGTGTGCCAGAATCGTTATATAAAGTCAGCTTTTTGTCCTTCAGCCTTCATCATTTGTTCACTCAATCGCTAAATACTTAGTTATACCTCTGCATTTTAGTTTCTTTGATTGATTTAAGTCGCTTGTCTTGTGATACCCTTTATATTTTTCTACTTACTACAGCCTCTTAATATCTTCGCAATGCGTTTCTTCCAGATCGCTTCGATTGTTGCCTACGCGGCCTCTTCCCTCGGTATGTGTTTTGTCACTTCCTCTACCAACTTGGGGGCAACGTTCTAATCCTGAAATCTAGCTGTCACCGTCACTTCCCCTCAGAACGGGGACAAGGTTGACTTCAGCAAGCCTTACACTATCAAATGGACCACTGTCCCGTATGTACTCAGTTGGACTAACACTGACGGGCGAAGCAATGGAAACACTGACTTAGATTGTCTCTGATAGCTCGGACCCCGAGCAAGTCAACATCGTCCTCAAGAACCAAACCAGCTCCGAGAAGGAAATCGCCAAGGACGTCAAGACCTCGGACGGCAAATACACTATCGACAAGATCTGGGACATTGAGACAGGGTGTGTCCATCCTACGAGCGGGACCTAGAATTCCTATGCTCCTCTCAAATTTGAACGTGAAGACAGACTAACTCTTCACCTCCCTAATTAGCGAGGGCTACCAGTTCAATTTCGTATCCAACTCGAAGAAGAATACCGGCATCCTGGCACAGTCGCAGATCTTCAATGTGACTGCTGTTGCTGACCCCCCCAAACCATGTAAGCAATATTTCAGTACTAAAATCACCAAAACACCATGCACCCACACCAGCACCAGCACTACAATCAAAGCAAAAACCACTTCCCGTCCCTGCATCATCCACAGCACTCTCAGCACCTCTAAACCTTCACCATCATCATCCCGTGCGCCATGCTCTCCGTCATCTAGTACCGCCGCCCCCTCCAACTCCGTGAACAAGGGTGAGTACGTCATGGTTTGCAACCAAATGGTTTTACTGACACAGCCCGTTCCCAAACAACAGCCTCTACTGCCACAAAATCCGCCTCGAGCACCTCCGCTGCTCCGACCGAGTCGACCGGCGGCTCTGCAGCACTTACGATTCCCGCCGCTGGCTCACTGATGCTCAGTCTTTTCGCCCTGGTGCTGTAATCGCAGATCCGGATCCGATACGAAAATGGACATGTATAACCTTGGAATTGACGCTATGAGGTAGTATTACTTCTTTTTGCTCTTTTCAATTTTCTTTTCCTGTCTATCTTTTCATCATGCCCTAGCTGTTTGGTTCATGAGATCACAAATTTTATGTATGTACGCAATCTATTAATGAAATTTTTTTTTAAAAAAAATAAAAATTTATATGCGTGGCTATCAATTCTTCTCGAATTGTTTTTATTTGCCTGTCTCGTTTATCTCTCGGCCTTATTGTTGTCCGGATTGGACATGTCATACGTGATGTTCATGGCAGAGGCAATAAGTATGCAAGGAGGGCCGGCACTCTACGTGCAGGCATACGGCCGTATAGAGTTTACTAGACTTTGCATGTACATACGATATGTGTGCATGTCGAACTTTGATTTTTTAGGACCATTCATTTTTCCCATTGATAATCCATACATAATGAACTTGATGCTGGCAGTTTTCTATGGTACTTGGTAGGCCCTCGGCGAACCCTGCATTGAGTGGCATATTTGAGTTTATATGTTGAGCTATTCATACCAAAATCATATACGAGTAATATGTTCGAATGATGTTCTAGTATATAGTACCCGATAGATCTCAGCCCCAGTTTCCATCTTAAGCTGGGATATAGCTTCAGAGACTCATCCTGGAAGATTCTTTAAAAAAGAAGCTCAGGTAGAGTGTTTTCAAATCCTAGGTCATCCAACCAGCTGAGGAAGTCAGCGCTAGTGCCAAAAGTCGCCAAGTCCGGTAAATCCTCAACACTCGCCAAGGGCATCACAGAGCCAGAAGAAGTTTCTTCAAATAGTCCATGGTCCTGAATAAGGTCTGGCAGTCTCTTTGCATATCGGCGCGAAGGCTGGTGGTTTAAAGTATCATCTAGTAATTTTGTTATGACTTTGTTGATATCCACGCAGGTCCGGTTAGTGTGGCTTATGGAAGGATCAGCACTACCAAGCCACGAGACGAAGACGCTTAGTTTACGGATGATCTCGGAGCGGGACGAAGAGCAGGGTACGGGGGTTTCTGCGATAGTGCACCGATGCATTTCTGTAGCAAGGACACCTGCAGGTGCAAGAGCATTGAAAAGAAGCTACGGCGTAGAGGTTAGATAGCTATTAATTTGACCAGTGGCAAGGCAAAACTCACAACGCAGAAGAAACGCTTAAGGATATTATTGCCTGCCTGCTCGCGGTGTTTCATGAGATCGTTGACCGCGGAAATTACCTTCATTGATGTGTCAAGGAGATCCTTCGTATCGTCCTGGTTTTCGCGGCTGCGGATCCGCTCCACTTGAAACACAGTATACAGGTATTCGAAATGTACGACTATAATTGCGACGCATGATAGGGGGCTTAGCACTTCCCAGGAGTCTGCGCTATAGTGATATTCTTGGGGAATTTGAGTCCACATCTGTAGGCACTGCTCGTAGGTTGTTCTACTAAATTGTTAACATTGGCTATATCAGAAAACGTCCTTGCAGCTATACCGGAGCTTCTCGGTGAAATCTGGCGTTCTTCGTCCTAGTGATAGTTCTAAAACTTGCTCAAGAAGTACGGATATCATAAAGCGCAACCTGAGTAGCGTTGCATGGCGAAGTGTGCCACTATGGACGCCTTTGATATTCCACCCGTCAGGCCCTAGTTGCTGCAATAGTGGTTCAAGAGAGTCATGGTGAAGTATTAAGTCGTCTTCTATGTCTAGTGGTAGACTTGTCTCGCAGTAGTGATAAGGGAGGCGAGGAGGCCTTCCCAGAAGGGTGGCCAAGTTCTTGTCCCAACGGTATGAAGTAACAAAAAGCCTCTTTCGAGTCTCAGAGATGAAGAAAGGAACGTCATTTTCGGATGACTGGAAGCGATGCAGACCCAGTGCATAAACATGAGACACCAGATCCCCAAGCAGCTCATAGCTTCGATGACCTAATCAAACTGTTAGCTCTGGCCGAAAGCTCTCAATTCTCTAAGTTTAGTACTTGTTTCTCCGAAAGATTCTGAGGCGAGCGCGCCATGTGTTACATATAACCATATCATCAAATCATTGACTGTATCAAGTTGTTTGCATATCTCGATGCATATGGTACTTGCTGCAATCATTTCTTCTGCAAAGACCTTGGCGGACATCAACCCTTGACCCTTGATATTGAACAGCTTCTCTTCGCTACTTAATGCACCTAATCCTGCGAAGGAAAATATGATACCGATGAATTCCCATCTCAAATTTGCGCCGGTGAACAGAGTGTAAAAGTCCCACGGGCTTGAGGTACTACGCAGATCAGGAAGCGGCCTGGCTGTATTCCGTGTAATCTTAGAATATATTTCTTCGTGCTGCAGATCCTTACCCCAGCCGTTTGTTTCCAAGTAGGTCCTGACCATTTTAAGAGGCTGTAGGATGAGTTGCAATGGGATGATAGTAGTCGGGGTTCGCTCATAGTGACCTATAATCAATTCTTCGTAGAGCTGAAAGGCAGGCAGTAGCCGAACCAGGCGTGATGCCACAAACCTATGATCATGGCTCCATCGCCCTCGTAGGACTGCATGAGGTATGGGATTTGGAGACAAGCCTGGTTGCGTTTCACGAAAAACTGACAAGAAGCTCGTTGACCCTAGGTAAGTACAGCTTAATGGGGATATCTTGGTGAGTGCACTGGTAAGGGAATGATCGGTGTCTTGGTTGATTCTTGTGCGAGGAGCCATATCAGGCCCGCCTGCAGAGACTTTGCTCAGCTTTGTCATAGGAGCTGGATGATAGTAGCACTGTGGTCGCATCAGAAAAGTCATCATCTTCTAGTTTAATGTCATTCTCACCTTTTTGCTGAGGCGTCGGGTGTCACATCTTTTACATGTAGGCCTTCTATGATCACATCTAATCTTCGATACACGACACGGCTCACAGGAGGTTAACCTTCCATTTTTCCTTAAAGTATTGACCTTCGAAACTTGATCCATTGCATAGAGAGTTGTTTCCCCGGAAATATTAAAGGAGCAAGAAAGAATGTGAGGAAAGAATAGAAAGTGGATGGGAGGAAAGATCAAGTAGCTGGCTTATCGGAATACATGTAGTCCGACCGGTACAGTTTTAGTCCGATCTCTACTCCGAGACGGAGTAGGCATGTGCACATTAAAAATAAAGTCTAAACTAACAGGTGTTAAGGAAATATACATTAGGAGGTTATTCTATTACTTTCATTACCAGTAGCACTATATTTTGGTTATAAAAGTTCGTTAAATTAGATTTCCTTGACCGCTACTATTAGGTGATATTCAAAGAAGCTATAAGTCATGTTCAAATGGGTATATCTAGTTACAAGTGTACATATATACAGACAACATTGGCTCGCATAACCGGAGAGAATGGCTACAATGAGCCCATGACCGAGTCTGCTATGCCCGACCCAGACCCGGCGGCACTGGTGCTGATCGCGGGCGACGAGGTGTTACCGTTGTAACTATCATTGATACCTTCTCGAGGGCGATCCCAGGTGCGAATGTGACCTTCTGCTGTGTCAGCTGCTGCTATATTGAAGTGACATACGAAAAGTATCCATACCTTCAAGAGAAGACGTCATGATTGAGTCTTCTTGGAAGCCCAACCAACAAATAGGGTCATCCCCGACGATTTTTGACTATTTGCCGATCAGTTCACATCAGCCTGATATAGAGACTAAGAATATGGCGGAAATTGTGACAACGTACCATTATTGGTGGTAATAGGGCTGTCCGAGCCCTAGGTTCTACGGGATGACGGACCGCAGAGTCATAATCACTGTAAGTGTCTGCAGTTCGTAGAGAATCCGACCTCATCCGGTTGCTTGCACTGTCGGCTCTGTGCCGATTGAAATGCTGTGTATTGCTTGCAATCATACTGGTCCGCTGCCGGGCACTAGCTTGATGCTGTCATGGCGTAATGAGTTAATCACGGGCCCCGGACAAGGATTACGCAGGGGTAGACGTACAGCTCTAGGGCGATGCAGCATGCCTACACTAAAATCCCACAGTAGCAGCCTGCAATCATCCCCAACACTCCCAAACCGGTATGTCCTCTCGTCACAACGCCATGGGTCGAATGCAACAGTAGAGACCCAGGAATTGTGCCCTTGGCATCGTGCGACGATCTTGCGCTCCGGAAATGACCATATTGTAACCAGATCATCTTGGCCACCTGTCACAATGTATTTGCCGTCAGGTGACCAGCAAACGCATATCAAGCCTCCATAATAACTACGGAAAATGTCTAGGACCCTATCCAGTTTGTTAGCTGGCCGCTCATCACTCACCATCTGCCCCAACTGAAACGAAGCAGAAAGCGCCAAGACTGTAAAACCTACTCTTCCTTGAGATAGTCCATCACGCGTAGCGATCCATCCTCTAGAACCACAGCCAGATGCCTTTGATCGGGCGAGAAGGCAAACTGGGAGATCCTCTGATTGGCAAGTTTCCACAACGCAACGGGATTCGTCTTCTGGTTTCTGGAGTTTACGGATTTCAGCACCTGTAGCGGTAGTCGACTAGATGCTTTGATCGCCTCTGCCGAATGATTGCTAATTTCAGGTGTGAAAAGCGCATCTTCCTTCTCCTTATCATATACGACCAATTGTCCATTTGCATGCGCAGCCATGAACATATTCTCTGACCCCGGAATCCATTTAATGTGAGTCACTGGAGAATTGCTGACAACTCCGTTCTTGTTGATCCGTGCATACTTCTGGGAGATAGGCTCGTACCAGATTATGTCGCCAGCCGACGAGCCCATAACAATGTCGATATGAGAAGAACTTTTTGTTAGTTCATTGATATCATGTGTCAACATATGCGCTTTGGTGAAGAGGATTTTCGCCAGCGGTTCCTCTTTATTCTTTGAGCTAAGATCCAACCATTGGAATGCCCGATTGATATTAGCGAAGGCGAACAGACCATCAGGGTTCCGATCATTGAGTCGTTTGGAAGAAGCTTCATGAGTGATGACCCGTGAGACAAATGACGAACTGCTCTTTATGATGTTATTCTTGGGCTTCCGTCTCTTCAAGCCATCCTTCGTAGGAACGGGCGCTAAAGCAGGGTTGCCATCTGCGAATGGCGGCGCCGTCACCTTCTCATTCGAGGTAAACACAGGGATCTTGTTTCGTTGGCCAACACTAACCAGCGATAGCTTTACGCCCGATGTTGGGGGTGTTGGAACAGTCGCAAGAGGATTAGGATTTACGACGGGGGCCTCCGAAGGATGTGGAGGAGGGGTTGCGAGGTGCAGGTCATCTTTGAGGCGGTAAGTCCCTATCGCAAAACCAGCATTAGCATGATACAAAGCTCGATAACACTGGAGCTCCGATGCGCATGAGGGACCTTGCGCCATGTCGCAAACACACCTTCTCCAACTTGCAGTGGACAACCACCCTCCGGATGGCTGATTATGTTGTTGGTCTCCACGACTGGAACTGCCATGCCATTCGACGCGCCAGCTGCGTACGCAACCGGTACGGTATAGCGAGGCGGAGGCGGGGGTAGGACGCTGGTTCGAAGTCAGCAAGAGAAAAGTCGCAACAATGCCGTCATCTAAGGAGAAGCGCAGCAAAACTAAAGCTTAAATAACTAAGTAACAGAGTGAAGCCAAAGCTAAATTAAACTGCAACAGCGACAAACCATGTGCCAACCAATCAACACGTTCAACAGAGAAACAGATAACAGGGTGAGGTATAGATTAAGGGCCTTGGAGGAGTGAGAGCCTTACAACATGGTTGCTACCGTGATAATAACCACAAATCAGCTAATGCAAATGAATCACTTGTGAGACAATGGTAGCTGCGATAGGCTAGTCACGCAATTCTGTGGTGAATTCTCCCCCCAGGGCACCCCGAATGGTGCTGCCCAAGGTGGCGTGATTTGGAGACTTGAAATTAGTTAATGAGAACCGATGAGGCCATGCACAATATCCCAAAAAAGGCAAACAGGACCCTCTAAAGCCTATCCTCAATTGATGATCGGTGTCCGGGGCTACCGGGGAGTGGTGAGCAGCAGTTTAACTTAGCAACGATGGGCGGAGAATCGATCGGAGTTCCGTTTGCAGTTGGGGACGCAGAGAAGCTATCGGGATTAAGTGCTCAACAACGACCGAGGAACAGGAAAAAAGGACTGTCTAGTTTACTGAACCGGAGAAAACGTCAAGTCCTCAGGGGAAGATAGAGGAGAGCGGAGAGCGACAAAAGGAGGGGAGGGCCAAAGAGCGTTCGTGAGGAGAAGCTTTTCTGGGGTTGGCCGCCGCTTTCTCGCGTGCACGAGGCGGATCCGTGGGGCTTCCCAACTGCTGTTCCAATGATTATCGGTATTCCATATCGTTCTCCGCTTTGTCTACAATAGCCTAACAAACACATTCTAATGATACCAGATCGGTACTGCCAGAATACGGAGTGAGTGCCCCTTTGGCACTTCGACCAAGGTACAGGGACAAAATTATAATGATAATGCTACAAGGAATATATCCATAATTCGGACGGTATACAGGTGCACTTTTCTCTCCCGAACATAAAAAAGCCAAATCTCTGCTCATTCATCGCCGATTGAATGAATGTCTTGGGTATCTTGCATACAGCGCCATAAAGACAAGGGCATCGCCCTCAAGTTCCACTTCCACTCACCCGTCGCCAAATCATTACCGCGGCTGCTCCAGCACAGACAACAGCGCCCAGTGCAATTCCCCAAGCCATCCATTTACCCTCAACGTCTTCCTCGCTCCGTGGAAACGCCGTGCTAGGCTCCATAGCTGCTTCAGCGATATGGACAAAGACCTCTTGCATTGAGCTCCAAGTCACACTGACATGGAGAGGTGAGCTGGGCATATTTAACATTGCAGTATATTCGTGCGGTTGATACTCAGCCCGTTGGGTAGTCCGATCGAGATCAGCCTTGAGAGCAACAAACACGCTTGGAAGCTCCTCAAGATGAGGGTATTTGGATCGCAGGTCGGGGATATACGCAAATGAATCGGGATCCGAGGAGTCGTAAGTGTACACAATCACGTCACACTGATCCAATAGCTTCACCTGGTTTTCCAATATGGCAGGCTCTAGCTCACCCAACTCGTCCAGAATCAGGTAACATTGTTTACCCCCCGGCAGCTCCACTGTGTTGACCGCAGTACGGGGTTGAATTGTAGGATGATATGTAGTGCTGAAGCCGCGCGCAAGGAAGGCGTCGAGAAGCGCAGACTTGCCTGAGCCAGGAGGCCCAAGGACATGACCGAGTACAACATTACGACCCACCCGCCCAGGGCGCTTTCTTCGCTTTCGTGGCCGAGTTACTTTTAATGCAGCCGTTGTAGAAGGATTGCTTCTGTCGGATGATTCAAATCCAAGATATGCCAGATATTCCAAGGTCGTTTTTGGGGATGTAAATGTAGTCATACTCCATTGCGCAAGCCAGCCCTGAAGTGTAACATGACCGGCTTCATTCCGAACAGTAGAAGATGGGAATGAGCCGTCTGCCCATGAAGCGGGTAAGCCCGGGGTTGGCGCAAATAACGACGCCAATTCGGCATCGTTCAATCCACCGTCGTTATCCTTGTCCGAGAGGAGGAAGAGATTCACGAAAAATCGATATCCTTCGGGGGAAAGCTCAGCAGACGCATACGGTGGGACCTCAAATCTGGGATGGAGAAAGCTTTCTTGAAGCGAGAGATTGTCAGTGTACTGGAAAGCCCGTAGTATGATCCAGACGGTTTCATGGCGCCCTTTCTCCGCATACATCTTGTTAAGATGTATAAAACCCCGGCAATCAATACCAGAAGGGGTCACAGAAGTTGGATGTGTCTTCTGGATGGTTTCTTTTATATGCACCAAGTCTTCCTCACTCAATGGCTTTTCGAAACATCTCATCTGGAAATCCTCGAGCTCCTTATCAGATAAATAACCATCACGGTCCTTATCACTGAGGTAGAAAATCCGTTGTAATGCCGCGACAGCTGCCGGTTTGAGAGCCGACTCCTTGGAGTCGAACAAGGGCGCAATTGGGTGGGTGACCGCCTTTTGACAGAGAAAGAAAGCCTCGTTCACATTGCGGTGTTCTCGCGCGCTTGTCCGAATGCATGAGTCGATTTCCTTGAATTCTGCCATCAACGGCAACATCTCTTCCTCGATAACTTGTGCTTCACTATGACCCGCGGCGAGATCGGATTTGTTGGCGCACAGTACCACGGGTACATTGACTCCCAAAGAGCGAAAATATGGAAGCCAGAATAATGCCACTCGTTCATAACTGTAATGATCTGAATATACAAGCAAAATCACGTTTGATTTCCGGATCTCCCTTGCCAGATTACTCCGCTCTTGAGGGAGAGCAGAAGTGTCCACCACGGTAGTTGTCGTGACATTCTCGGGGGTTCCGATCGTGGGAGGAATCGTGATCTGGGGCAAAATTGGCTGAATCTTGTTTGTCACAAAGACCCCTTTCACAAGTGATGTGATGAGACTGGACTTTCCAGTGCCCTCATCTCCGCAAACACAAATTCGCACTGGAAAGCGTCAGTGTCGCCTGTGACCCCAGCTAGTGTTATTGACAGTATCATCGCACCTGTAGCCATCTTTAACAAAGGAAGGCGGTTGAAAACGCCTTTTTCAAATCATTGCCAGATGCATTCTCCATAAAACGTCAATGCCGAACCGTAATCGGAAAAACGTAGACTCGAATGGTTGGACAAAGCTCTTTCGGTATTCAGTTGTTGTTACGGCGATCCTCGGAGGTTCGGCGGTGGCTGTGCCGTCTTGCAGCCTCAGGTTTCAACAGTTCGCTGGAATCGATTATTGATGTACTACGTGAAAGCGACGGCGAGTTGGCTTGTTTCGAGGTTCGCTGAGGAATGAATAGATTCTATCATATCGTGAGTGTAGGAAACTAATAATTATTTTGGTGCTACAATCTGAGGTTTACGTTTACAAACAATGTCATCGAAGAGAAGCTGATAGAACGGCCCAGCCACACTCAGTTACCAATCTAAACATACCGCGGCAGGCTGCTTGCGGAACTTGCGCTATTGATCATTTGAGCTATGGATACTAGTTGATTAACCTGGAAATAAATTCACCATCTTCTAACCTAAGACTTTTGTAGAAGTCTCTTCTTCGTCGATTCTTTGCTGCGGTGGTTTGTCTTAGTTGTAATCCCACCACTCAATTACAATCGGAACTGCGGGAATCTCGACCTTATTTTAATTTAACTAGTTTATAACTGTGAACCTGTCACTTAGTCAGATCCACCTCTCGGTCGTCTCCCCATCCGAACGGCGAACGGACTCCGCAGAATATCCTGCTATCAACTTCTCCGGCGCAATCTCCTAGAACCTCCTCCAATTCCTCTACCAACTTTACCCTTCAGGCTTTAGCGAGCACAGTCAAAATGCCTCTCGGGATTCATAATCCCTTGCCTTCGTCTTTGAATAGTATGTTTCATTTCACTACCTGCCCAAGTTTCCCCGCACTTCTCATAGAGGGGTCTTAAGAGTCCTATACTAACGCTGTTTCTGCACAACAGGCGAGTGTAGAAAGGCTGGTAAAATCCTTGCCTCATTTATCGACCCTCGGCAAGCTTTTGGTCCTGATAAGATCATTCCTCCCGAAATCCTAGCAGGTGCTAAGGTAAAGAACAATTTCGCAAACAAGAAGTTACAGCCTGTGAAAAAAAGAAAGTAGCGTCGGAAACTGACTAGTGTTTTGCTAGGGGCTTGCGGTCCTCACCGTTCTCAAGGCTGGTTTCCTAGGCTCCGCTCGATTTGGATCTGGCGTTGTCGTTGCTCGCTTGGCGGATGGCTCTTGGTCTGCTCCCTCGGCTATCGCAACCGCAGGTGCCGGGTTCGGAGGTCAGATTGGATTCGAATTGACCGACTTCGTCTTCATTCTCAACGATGCCGCCGCTGTCCGAACGTTTTCTCAAGTAGGAACTCTAACTCTTGGTGGTAACGTTTCGCTCGCCGCAGGACCGGTGGGCCGCAATGCAGAGGCCGCCGGAGCAGCAAGCACAAAAGGTGTGGCCGCAGTCTTCTCTTACTCCAAGACGAAGGGTCTCTTCGCAGGTATCAGCTTGGAGGGAAGCATGCTAGTAGAACGGAAGGATGCGAACGAGAAACTCTACAACAGCCGAGTGTCAGCCCGGCAGTTATTGAGTGGGACTATTAGACCGCCCCCAAGCGCGGAGCCGCTCATGCGTGTGCTAAATTCCCGCGCATTTTATGGCAACGGGAAAAACGGGGATGTGATGTACAATGATATACCCGTTTACGACGACCATCATGATGACGTGGTATGGGAAGGACGACGGGGAGATGCGTATGGACAGGGTCTCCGACGTGACCGCACAGGTGCCAATGATGTGGATACCTACGAGTACCGGGACCGACCCCGCCGCGCAAACACATGGGCCGATGATGTATACGACCGGCCTGCCGGGAGCCTGAGCCGCTCATCGACCACCCGTAGTCCTCGCAATGATACCTCTGACACATACAACCGCAGCCGAAGTAATACAGCACCGTTCGAGGAGGACTATGTTTATTCTGACCACAAGCCCAGCCGACCCACGGCACCGAAGCCTGTTTTCGGGCAACGGACAGGACAAGCCCCTTCTCTGCGCCAAGACCAGGCGATTGCCCTTTACACCTTCGATGCCGATCAAGAAGGAGATCTAGGATTCAAGAAAGGCGACATCATCACGATCGTTAAACGTACCGAGAAGAAGGAAGACTGGTGGACGGGGCGCATCGGAGATCGGGTTGGCATCTTCCCTGCGTAAGGAAACTTATTCTTTCCAATTAGCTCGGATCTTTGGACTAATCATCTGTTCTTAGGAATTATGTCGATACGGCTTAGAAATCCTACTGCCACCCCCTGACTAATGCGGAACGAAATCTAATGAACCAAGAACTCAAGCCCTCTTTTCCTCCACAAGTCCTTTCGTCTTTTCATGATTCACAATCGAACCGAAAGCGTTTCGGTCCATATTGCAGGAAGTATCATACCCAATTTGATCCGGAAATTCTTGTTTCAGCTTTCTAGTGTAAGCGGTGGTGTCGTCATTACGCGGAGTGGCTTGACCGGCGTGTCCGAGATAAACACATGAGGAACTTCAGGGATGTTTTGTATATCTGGATTTTGCCGAAATTCCCTGTTTGTCTGTCTTGTTTTCTTTTTCTTTTTCGTCTTATATTTTTGTGTCGTTCCATGTTCCTTGTTTCGTTTCCCGTGGTGTTGATAGTTTCCATTATTCTTGTGCATGCATTTCAAAGAAGTGTGGATTTGGCTTGCAGGTTTGGTTTTAGAATGAAAACTTCCCCTCTGCACTGTTTATGTCATTCATGGATTACATCATCTTGTTTCGGTTCTCCTTTTGATTCCCTCCTCTTCTCCTCGCTTGTGAAAGTTAGCTGCGCAGTGTCCAGTTGATTGGCTTCCTTCAAAGGAAGGGATGAAACAAAGGGACCGCCCACTTGTGACTACCAAATCCGAGCCATAGAGAGTCGTCACTGACAGGGCAAAAAGTCTTCAGCGGACCTTTTGCGCAAACGTGCGTGTACATTCCTAGGTATAGTTTAGACGGATTAAGCGATATCGCATTCCAACCGTACCTCTCGCCTATGTATTATCCACGGGGCAGGGCTTGTCACCCATAAATTCCTCCGAAGTCATCAGACGCTCTCAGCCAATGAAAGCCCTGGACTCGAAGCACGAGACCCGCCAAGTAATACTAGTAAAATGTAAAGAGGTGGCTAGCTAATGCTTTTCTCGGTTGTCAGAGGCCAACAAGGCTGAGAAAGGCATGGCAACATTCCCGATGATGGCTTGTTAATGGAGGTGGTGGACGGCTACGGACCTCCAGCCCTGCGTGTGTTCCCAGAGAACAAATGAGCTTTCAAGGCAATAAAATACTACTAGTGACTAAGTAGAGGGTTGTGAGCGCATGAACTTGATCAGGTGTCCAATCATTCTTGTCACGGAAACAGTGAGGTTCATTGATCTCCTACATAGCAGGGGGAAACTGTTAGGAGAGAAATCTTAAATATATATACGGATGTATGTGTGTATCATAGTAAATCCCTATCAGAGTATCAGAGGTGATAACGGTCGAAGATGAATGACATGTTCTTAGGAGAGCCAAGAGCAAATTCAAAAGGAAATAAAGATATATCTAAAAGGAGGAGGCAGACAGGAAATATCACCACTAGTCAGCATGTCCGGAACCAACGAGGAATGAAGGTTTATGTTCATTAGCATACACATCATTGTGGCTTGGCTGCTCGAGTGGACATCAGAGATTGGATTAGGTTACGGATTTTATATACTTTTGCTAAGGGGACACGTGAGAAACGCTCCCACATCGAACGGATTTAACCAGAATTACTAAGAATGAACGGACGCAGCGAGAAAGATCAAACAATAAAATTCCATTCTGGAGAACAATAGTCTGAATCAAATTGAAAACAGATTCATTCGGAAACCGAATCCTATTACTCGTTGTCAGGCACGGGGGATATGCTGATCAACGATCGCCTATCGGCCGGACAGGGCCACTCTGATCGTCCCATTGAAAAACAGTGGAGCAAAGATATGTGACTAAGCGCTGTTGACAGTCAAGGATGTGATTATAATAAGAGATAATATACCTACTGATTCTCCCAATTCAACTTGATTAAATCAATCAATCAATTCTTTTTGCACCTATGGACAAAAATCAGATCGGTGTGACCTAGCTCAAACAGAAAGGCATAAGAGGAAAAAAAAAAAAAAAAAAAAAAAAAAGAAAGGAGAGCAAATGACCTGCCCCTCCCCCTAAAAAAAAGATCTGAAGGGTATGAGGGTTAGTGTATAATATGGAGTAATAACCATTAAACCCCCGATCACCGACTCTAAATCTGGACCGAACCGTTGTTCCTACACACACACTAAGTGGAAGTGAAGCAACTGCAAGTCTGCTTTTTCCCTCGCCGCCCGCCAACCAGCCGTCCAAAGTCCAGCCAACCAACCAAACGGCTTTTCTCCTCGAACAACCCCCCGAATTGTTAATTCCCATCCTCATCCACCATCTCCCCAAAACCGATTACAGTTGATCCAACATTCACCACCAGAACTTTCTTCAGCCTCCTTCTTACGTCGGCTCGATACCCCCCTTCTTCTCTCCGACCTCCCTCAAACTCGCCTCTTTGTTCTAGAAACTCTGCGACAAGCCCCAAGGTCGCCGGATGCCTAACCCTTATCCGCATCTTCTTCTCCCCCCCGACACACTGGTGCTTGCTACTCTCTGTCGACGCTTCTTCCCCGCTTCCATGATTCCATGAACACCCATTTATTTTCAAGTTTCTCCTGCCCTGGTGGTACAGTGACCTCCTCTCCACGAGGCGAGTATCCTATCGCCCTTCGGTCCTCCGTCAATTTCGGGTCGTCTTCCTCCTAGGTTTCCGGTCAAACCGCTCCCATGCAGGTGCGTTAGTCGACATGACCCTTACCGTTCGCTAGCCTTTTTTTTTTTTCCACACCCGAAAGAAATCCACCCAACCACTCTTTTCGTCCTTGCCATAGATTTGTGTCTAAAGGCAAGGTTGTATGGCTGATCTTGGGTTGTCAGGCAATCCAGAACCTTGCGGGTTGCATATGAGAGCTCTACCTGAACTAACTCATTTTTGACCATGTAGGCTACACCGAGTCCTTCGGAGGCTGGCGGAGGATACGCAACCCGGAGAGGCCATGCGTCCCACCTGTCGATTAGTGACCCGAGTCACCATGTCACGGAGGCCATTGGTCATATGTATGACGATGATTACGACAAACGGAACTCCCAGCGCCTCAGCTATATTTCCTCACCCCTGAGCGAAGCGATCTCAATAATTCCTCCGAATCTTGCCGGTGCTGCATCCCCTACCTCGCCGCAGTCGATACAATTACAGAACCATTTAAATGCAGTCAACAATCATCATCCCGTGAACGGACAGTCCCGGCCGCCCACTGATGGGGCCGCTTCTTTGAATAGGGAAAGCAGCAGTCCAGCATCACCTGGCTCAACCACATCTCCTGGATCAACAGACACCGCCACCACATCTTTCCCCCTCAACGATATCGACTACGAGTCTGACCCTGCTGCTGTGGCCCAAGAACTTAACAATCTAGCCGCCATCAGACGAATGTCCATGGATGTAGCTGCTACGGGTGACCCTGACCTTCCGAGCTTCAATTCCGATTTTTCCGTACCACCCTCCCCCTCCGCCGACGAAAATGACGCTGCTCGATTATTTTGGGTTCCTGCACGCCTGCATCCGGAATTAGCCCCTAAGGAGTTCAAATCCTTCCTCGAAAGCAAGACGGAACAAATAAAGCGGAGATCTGGCGACTTCAACTCCCTAGGACCGGAACGCCAAGGATCAACCGGAGGTCTTAGTCGAAAAAGGTCTATGTTGTCTAGACAAATCGACAATTCTCATGGCTATACGGATGGCGCAGAACGGTTAGAGCGAAAACGATCTCAGTCGAGAAGGGATCCTCTGACGCCTAATCTACAAGAATTGGAGACATTGGTAGATAGCTCTAATCCGCGAAGCACAAGTCCTGTTACTTTGTTAAATGAAATTCAGAACCTAGGAATCACAGCGGACGAAGATAGGCCAATCCTTCCACCTGCGCCCCCAGGTCACAGTCTTAGACGATCTACGAGGACGCAATACAGAAAGGCGGGAAGTTTGAAGAAGGGTGAAAAGCTCCCCTATTCCAAGCGATTCGCGAAAGCCTCCGATTTGAAGGAGGGTGCCTCATCAACTGCCAATTCCTTTGGTGAACAGGCAACCTCGGGTCTCGCCCGAGTGTCAACCGATCCCACTCCCAGCATACCCCGAAGCCAGGCCTCGGGGATACCAGCTCAGTCCGCAGCATCACCGTCTAGCGAAACTGCCAACTCCACGCTTGAATCTGTCTCGGACCAGCCGCAGTCTGGAAACGACCGGCAAAGTGAGTCCTCAATGGTGGAAACCGGGGGCAAGACGAATGCATCGTCCCAGACACGTCAGTGGCATTCGCGCCTCAGCTCAAACGGGCGGTCAACTTTGAACATTCCACCTACAGAACAAAAGATTCCAGAGATTATTGAAACTCCTCCGCCGGAAACTAGCGCAGCACCTACGACCCCAACCTCACTGTCAGGTGCCACCTCTGGGCGCGGATTCACTCAGGACTCCCCATCGTCATCGGCTTCGCCCGCAAAGGGATCAGGGAATTACGACCAAAGTTCAAGCAAATGGTCACTACACAACCGCATGCAGAGCAGGGACAGCGCGAGTACCCTCAGTGACTTCGCCAACAGTCCTCAGGCTCTGCCGGGCAATAGCACCCGGACAGATAGTCTTTCGTTTATTCCTACCTTGTCAGAGGAACGCAAGCCGGAACCGAAGAAATCGAAGGACAAGAAGGAGTCAGAAGGTAGCCGCAAGTCGAGCTGGCACTGGCTTTTAGGCAGCGAGGAAAAAGATAAGGACAAGGATAAAGAAAAGAAAAAGGACAAGGAGAGCGATGCTAAGAAGATAAAAGCCAAACTAGTTGATAAAGTCCATGAAACAGCGAACGCTCTCCCGTCTTCTAACGATTCAGGACAACGCGGACGGGAAAGTCTTGTATTGGACCGACTCGACCCTAAATTGGAAGAGGAACGTCGAAAGGACCATGTTAGAAGGACCTCGGGAGAGTCGAAGAAAGAGAAGGAGTCCGGCCTGTTCTCTTCATTATTCGGAGGTGGCAAGAAAAAAAGCAGCACTGATAGCCATCATAAGAAAAGCTCATCTCGGACCTTGTCTCCTGACCCGCCACCACGGGAACTTCGACCTGATGTTGATTAT